ATATAGGCGTACATGGTTCACGTGGCATCTATACCAGCGATGTATGTTAAACGGAATCTGGTGGTGGTCCCTGTGGCATCTGCTAATGATGTACGTTACTAACAGACTCTGGTGGTGGTGCCTGTGACATCTACTAATGATGTAGGTTGCTGACAGACTCTGGTGGTGGTTCATGTGACATCTACTAATGGTGTATGTTACTAGCAGACTCTGATGGTGGTCCATCAGGCATCTACTACTGATGTACCTTACTAACAGACTATGGTGGTGGTTCATGTGACATCTACTAATGATGTACATTACTTAGAGACTCTGGTGATGGTTCACGTAGCATCTATACTACTGATGTATGTTACTAACAGACTCTGGTGGTGGTTCATGTGGCATCTACTAATGATGTACATTACTTAGAGACTCTGGTGGTGGTTCACGTGGCATCTATACTAATGATGTACGTAACTAACAGACTCTGGTGGTGGTTCACGTGGCATCTATACTAATGATGCACGTTACTAACAGACTCTGGTGGTGGTTCATGTGACATCTACTAATGGTGTATGTTACTAGCAGACTCTGATGGTGGTCCATCAGGCATCTACTACTGATGTACGTTACTTACAGACTATGGTGGTGGTTCATGTGACATCTACTACTGATGTACGTTACTTACAGACGCTGGTGGTGGTTCATGTGACATCTACTAAAGATGTACGTTACAAACAGACTCTGATGGTGTGTCATGAGGCATCTACTAATGATGTTGGTTGCTGACAGGCTCTGGTGGTGGTGGTGCATCAGGCATCTACTACTGAGGGTAGAGGCTGAGTTATGATGTAAACGCTGTCTGTCATGTCTGTGCTCAAGTAAGTACAACACGTGTTCAAGTACAGCAGCACGTACAACTAAGAACGTTTTTACTTAGTTGTACGTGCTGCTGTACTTGAACACGTGTTGTACTTACTTGAGGTACATCAGTAGTAGATGCCTGATGGACCACCATCAGAGTCTGCTAGTAACATACACCATTAGTAGATGTCACATGAACCACCACCAGAGTCTGTTAGTAACGTACATCATTAGCAGATGCCACAGGGACCACCACCAGATTCCGTTTAACATACATCACTGGTATAGATGCCACGTGAACCATGTACGCCTATATAAGACTGACTGTACAACCCTGTAAGGCTGACTGTACACCCATATAAGACTGACTTACATCCCTGTCAGGCTGACTGTGCACTCATGTAAGGCTGACTGTACACTCATGTAAGGCTGCCTCTACACTCATGTAAGGCTGCCTGTACACTCATGTAAGGCTGACTGTACACTCATGTAAGGCTGACTGTACACTCATGTAAGGCTGCCTGTACACTCATGTAAGGCTGCCTGTACACCCATATAAGACTGCCTGTACACCCATCACAAGGGTCTGTGTCCGGTTTGGAAAAACCGAATGTCAGACCAGGCGCCGGAACGGAACCATCGGCGTGCTGCGTTTTCGACCAATCAGGAAGCAGGGTTTCAGTGCCTAACCTATAAAAAATTAAAAAAGAGCGAAGCCACGCACACCGTCACAGTCCAAGCACTGATTGAGAGTTCAACCATGTCGTCTGGATGCAGCTGTCTGAAGTGTCAGACCAACAGTCAACAATGTCCGTTGATGAGTAAAGTCTATTCGTGGACAATAGTGACCTACCCACCTGGTGAATCGGAGACGATCCTATCGCAGAGTCCGCACTGGTTTAAGAACAAGTCTGAGGCTATTGCAGCTTTACAACAAGCTATACAACGCGGAGTTGACGTCCCCGACTGTTGGGGTGGTCCGTATTATTATCTAGTATCGAGATCAAGGAAAGTAATGTAAAACAGAGACAAGCCTCGTCCAGCTTGTTTCCAGTTTGTTTCCAACGGCCCTTTTCAGGGCCACCCATCTCTCCCAAAAGAACGCTTTCATCCTTTGCTTTGCCAGTACAAACAACAATCCAAAAGAATCCACACCCTCCCCAGTCCTCTTGGAGGTACACGCCTACGAGTGACACCACGCCTCTACGTATGTTTGTATGTCTGTATGTATGGTTGTGTACACGAGTGGTATCACGTTTGCATGGAGACACACGTGCCAGTACTATGTATAGACCTACACGAGAGCCAACTCCTCGGTATAAATAAACGAATGACAACGTCATCATCCTATGGATCAATGTCTTTTTGAAGACACACATGACACTACGTTTTGCATGAAGACATGAAGTACATCACGTTTACATGGAGAGACGTAGTACACCATGTGTGTTTGAAGACATGAAGTACATCACGTGTGCATGGAGACACGCGTGACAGTACGCATGTCAACATACACGAGTGTCAGCACTTCGGTATAAATGAACGAGTGACAACGTCATCATCCTATGGATTAACGTCTGTTTGAAGACACGCGTGGCACCACGTTTACACGGAGAGACGTAGTACATGACGTTTGCATGGAGACACAAATGGTAACAGACACGTAAACATACACAAGTGCCAACTCCTCGGCGTGGATGAACGAATGACAACGCCATCATCCTATGGATAAACATGCGTTTGTTGTCACGCGTGACACCACGTTTGCATGGCAACACGAAGTACATCACGTCTGCATGGAGACACACGTGACAGTTCGCATGTAAACATACACGAGTGCCAACTCCTCGGCATGGATGAGCGAGTGACAACGTCATCATCCTATGGATAAACGTCTGTTTGAAGACACGCGTGGCACCACGCTTACACGGAGAGACGTAGTACATCACGTTTGCATGGAGACACAAATGGTAACAGACACGTAAACATACACAAGTGCCAACTCCTCGGTGTGGATGAATGAATGACAACGCCATCATCCTATGGATAAACGTCTGTTTGAAGACACGCGTGGCACCACGTTGAGACGTAGTACATCACGTTTGCATGGAGACACGTAGTACACCATGTGTGTTTGAAGACACGAAGTACACCACGTCTGTTTGAAGACACGTGTGACAGTACACATGCAAACATACACGAGTGCCAACTCCTCGGTATAATTAATAATCTTATGGATAAACGTCTGTTTGTAGACACGCATGGCACCACGTTTGCATGGAAACACGTAGTACATGACGTTTGCATGGAGACACAAAAGGTAACAGACACGTAAACATACACGAGTGCCAACTCCTCGGCGTGGATGAACGAATGACAACGCCATCTTCCTATGGATAAACATGCGTTTGTTGTCACGCGTGACACCACGTTTGCATGGCAACACGAAGTACATGACGTTTGCATGGAGACACACGTGACAGTTCGCATGTAAACATACACGAGAGCCAACTCCTCGGTATAAATAAACGAGTGACAACGTCATCATCCTATGGATCAATGTCTTTTTGAAGACACACATGACACTACGTTTTGCATGAAGACATGAAGTACATCACGTTTACATGGAGAGACGTAGTACACCATGTGTGTTTGAAGACATGAAGTACATCACGTGTGCATGGAGACACGCGTGACAGTACGCATGTCAACATACACGAGTGTCAGCACTTCGGAATAAATGAACGAGTGACAACGTCATCATCCTATGGATAAACGTGTGTTTGTCGTCACGCGTGGCACCATGTTTGCATAGAGACACGAATAACAGTACGTGTACATGAAGACACGCGTGACGTACACATGTAAACATACACGAGTGCCAGCACCTCGGTATAAATAAACGAGTGACAATGCATCATCCTATGGATAAACGCGTGGCACCATGGAGACACGAATGACAGTACGTAGGCATATACCTACATCACGTTCATGTCTGTGCCTGTCGATTCACCTTTAGAATTCAGCCAACACCTTTAGAATTCCACACCATGATCGTAGCGCTGAGGTGATTGCCACTCATCGACTTTTAACTTAGGCGAACGGCTGTCATAGTGGGCTACAATACATCGATCGCCTTGTGGAGCGAGACCTTGCACCTCAAAGTTTACAAACACATCACCATACCCGATGACATGATTTGTGAAATGTTGTTGCAAAATCCTTCGCCGATATGACGTCAACCTAGCAACAAAGTGGCAGAGTCATCGACTGTGTATGATAAGCTCGTCTCAGTGAACTATCATCTCCACATGCCATCGCCACACACCCACCAAAACAAAACAAAACAAAGAACCCGACTCCCCTCCCGCCTTCCTCCCTCCTCCCACCTTCCTCCCTTCACCACCACCCTCCCTTCACCACTACCACCTTTTCTATTTCTATTTTTAGAACAACAAAAGAACAACAACCATGTCGATCTTTTAACCTTGTACGACCGTTTCTCTGGGTTTTCCCCATCCTCCCCGGAAACGGATGCGCGGCCATCTTGAAGGCGTACGCCACCGGACACGGATGCGCCACCATCTTGAATGCGTACGCCACCGGAAACGGATGCGACGCCATCTTGGATGCGCGCGCCACCGGAAACGGATGTGTCGCCATCTTGGATGCGCACGCAAGTCCCATCATGCCCCGCGCGCATGCGCAGGTCACGTGACCGGATGTGACGTCACAGAGGTCACGTGATCCTCTCGACCAATCAGAAGCCAGGAGCGGGTCCTTGGGTAATGCGTACGACTACTCCCCTCTACAGTCAGTTATAGGCCTAAAGCTATTCATTTAAAAAAATAATTCATTTTAGAGGAATGACATTGTAGATTTATGAATCCACTCTAACTCAATACAGACCACGTGGTCTCTTTATGGGTAGCCTTCCCCATATTTATATTTATAAGAACTGACACAGCTTCCACCATTATTGTAGCATGTTGTACTCTCTCCTACTGAACTAGTTTTTCATATATGGCTGTTATAGGTCATTTCATTAGTATATATAATTATAATTGTGTAAGTACTTTCCATTGGTGTACTGAAATTCTGATTGTGGTTTGACTGATAATCATGTTGACAGAAATACAAGGCAGGAAGAAACATCATCTAAAACCCATTTAATAACATTTAATAACAAGGAATAAAAATACAAAAAATCTTTAAAAGATATTACAAATGACCAAGGGCTTGTTTACCCACCTTCCATCTAACTGACTCTCATATTATGCAAAACACCCAGTCAGAACACCAGGTGGTAAGGGGATTGCCCCGAACATACACTGCAAGGTCTGGGGACACATGTAGCTCCTGTAGTTGTGTCACATCCTTCCAATGTACACAAGTCAGTATTGCTTACACCTCTTTCCTTAATCACTTGGTATACAGGTTATTCTGAACAATGTTTCGTTGTCGATGGACAAATTATATAAAAAGTGATCTCATATCACAATAGGTGGGAGAAAGGTGAAACAAAACATGATAAAATATTTTGAAATTGAGCATTATGTTCAATGAATGTGTAATACAGTATATCATTTTAATTCAAGGTTGTTTTCAACTGGCAAAAATAGACTGAAACTTGCTGCATAGCAATTGTTAGGGAATCTTTGGAGACTTATCATCAACCACTGACTTGTCTGGCCCTTATTTGATTATTTATATAAATATTTTGTTGATATGTCACTCTTTGCAAGAAAAAAGACACAATATATTTAAATATAGGGATCCACATACCAGATAAAGATTTCACAGATCCTGCTGCTGCACTGCGGTACCGAGCATACTATGTAACAGTACTCGGCATCCAGCATGCCACGTAACAGTACTCGGCATCCAGCATGCCAGGTAACAGTACTCAGCATCCAGCATGCCAGGTAACAGTAGTTGGCATCCAGCATGCCAGGTAACAGTAGTTGGCATCCAGCATGCCATGTAACAGTAGTTGGCATCCAGCATGCCATGTAACAGTACTTGGCATCCAGCATACCACGTAACAATACTTGGCATCCAGCATACCACGTAACAGTACTTGGCATCCAGCATACCACGTAACAGTACTCGGCATACCAATAGGAGGTTGGCACCCTCTCGTATGTAATCACTGACTTTGTAGTGAACAACTTTATTAGGGATGAGAGCAGGCATGCAGCTCAAGTTAGGGTTGGGAGCAAGTATGCAGCTCAAGTTAGGGTTGGGAGCAAGTATGCAGCACGGTAAAGCAGCTCAACTTAGGGATGGGAGCAAGCATGCAGCTCAAGTTAGGGTTGGGAGCAAGTATGCAGCACGGTAAAGCAGCTCTACTTAGGTATGAGAGAAAGTATGCAACTCTACTTAGGGATGGGAGCAGGTATGCAGCTCAACTTAGGGATGGGAGAAAGTATGCAGCTCTACTTAGGGATGGGAGCAGGTATGCAGCTCAACTTAGGGATAGGAGAAAGTATGCAGCTCAACTTAGGGATGGGAGAAAGTATGCAGCTCAACTTAGGGATGGGAGAAAGTATGCAGCTCTACTTAGGGATGGGAGCAGGTATGCAGCTCAACTTAGGGATGGGAGAAAGTATGCAGCTCAACTTAGGGATGGGAGAAAGTATGCAGCTCAACTTAGGGATGGGAGAAAGTATGCAGCTCAACTTAGGGATGGGAGAAAGTATGCAGCTCTACTTAGGGATGGGAGCAGGTATGCAGCTCAACTTAGGGATGGGAGAAAGTATGCAGCTCTACTTAGGGATGGGAGCAAGTATGCAGCTCTACTTAGGGATGGGAGAAAGTATGCAGCTTAACTTAGGGATAGGAGAAAGTATGCAGCTTAACTTAGGGATGGGAGAAAGTATGCAGCTCTACTTAGGGATGGGAGCAAGTATGCAGCTCAACATAGGGATGGGAGCAGGTAGGTGTGGGTCCTTGAGATAGTTTAAAATTAACTTGTCATAAAAAGTTCATTTCTCAGATCCTTAAATCTGAAATTGACAGCTGTAAAATACACTTTGTTGGGATATGTCAACAAGTGTAAGAATGTATCATGCATGAAAGTCATCACATGTCCTGAAAGGTGCTGTATTCTCTTATCAAAGGGAATGACTTCACACCCAAAAAAGGCATATGTAGTAAACCTAAAAAAAATATATTAACAATGTCACATGATATAAATACTAGTATTTCATTTTTAAACAATACATCCTGTTTTCCTCATTTATCCAAAATATCACACCCACAAATGTCAAACATACAACATTAAACCACTCCTTTTTAAAACTTAAGAGAAGAGGATCGACATAATGTATGTATGTTATATGGAAGTAACGTTGTCATGACAAACACTACAAGAAAGGCAGATGTGTAGTGTCCATTAATTAACACTCACCTTCAATCTCTACCTATTGAGATCATATCACAGATATTAATTAGCCTCTAGTCATCACTAAATTACACTATGCTCCAACAGATGTCTTGAACACTTGCTACATTTCTTGACTCCACCAAGTGATCAACATCTAATAGTCTTGAGTATTAATAGTGTTGAAATAGTCTGAGAGTCAGACTGCTACTAGTTCTGTCTGATGCAGTAATTATGTTCTCACTTCCCTCAACGGTGCCTGGAGGTTTGCACCATGTATGTTTTCTTAACTTGTTCAGTGCAATACACATTTCAAACATACCTTTTATATGTTGCATGAAACTTCTATAAGGTATGATAAAGGGACTAGTTGGCCCTCAGAATCTGCATAATTAAAGAAATGGTTCTGAACACGTTCATATAAATTGGAAAAAATGTATCACAAAAAGCCTTTTTGATATTTAGATTTCTCAAAATGGAATAAATACTATGCATGATAGCACATCTGGAATGCCAACAGTGTGATAAAGTGAAATAAGCAAGGCTGTGTGCCTGTTATGATATAAGCTCAACTTATTATAAAACAGATGTGTAATATTGTCTTGTTTCAAAGGTGACTTAGTGACCCCTGCTTATATTTCACTGCAACCTTACAAGGTTCTTCTTGTTGCCATGGAAATTGATGTTGCTAAATGCTGCTCTGTGGCTACTTCTCATGGCAGTCGACCAGGTGCTTGATGTAGTGATACACGTAGAACACCTGCAACACACAATGTAGTGATACACGTAGAACACCTGCAACACACAATGTAGTGATACACGTGGAACACCTGCAACACACAATGTAGTGATACACGTAGAACACCTGCAACACACAATGCAGTGATACACGTGGAACACCTGCAACACACAATGCAGTGATACACGTGGAACACCTGCAACACACAATGTAGTGATACACGTGGAACACCTGCAACACACAATGCAGTGATACACGTGGAACACCTGCAACACACAATGCAGTGATACACGTGGAACACCTGCAACACACAATGCAGTGATACACGTGGAACACCTGCAACACACAATGCAGTGATACACGTGGAACACCTGCAACACACAATGCAGTGATACACGTGGAACACCTGCAACACACAATGCAGTGATACACGTGGAACACCTGCAACACACAATGCAGTGATACACGTGGAACACCTGCAACACACAATGTAGTGATACACGTGGAACACCTGCAACACACAATGCAGTGATACACGTGGAACACCTGCAACACACAATGCAGTGATACACGTGGAACACCTGCAACACACAATGCAGTGATACACGTAGAACACCTGCAACACACAATGCAGTGATACACGTAGAACACCTGCAACACACAATGCAGTGATACACATTTAGGAAAACACATGCCCAATGCAATGCAAATTAAAACAGAAAGTTCCATGGCTGTAGTTACCTGAATGACAAAGTAACACGCACTTCCAGTTTAATAAATTCATATGTCAGCACCACAGAATATTCAGTCTCAAATATAAACAGATTCCACAGGATATCAAGGATAAAAAGGTAATTGGGAAATGTAGACGCCACTTCAGGATTTTGAAAAAACATATGCCCAACTTGTAGTGCAACATAAAGATCAGAAAGTTCCATGTCTGTAGCCAACTCAAAAAGAAAGTAATAAGCACTTCTGGTCTAAACACCTTGACCTTCACCCTCAGTCATGAAAACAAATGATAAATGTAGCAGACTGTAGATGTTCGCTGAATAATTCTGTTCGCAATTGACATGATCATCACACATGGCAAGAAAGTGCTTATGTATTATTAATCATTGCAAAATGTTTCGTATTAGCATGAATTGAAGTCAAACATTCCATATTTTGACAATAAGGTTTCTGGTGACCTTTATTGTTTGTCATTGAGATTCTTCTTAAAATAAGACCCTATCCAAGCATACCTTGAGCAGTTGTTGAGATAATGTACATCAAATTTCATCAAATTCAAATAATGAGAGATTATAGACACAGGCACATTGATACATATACTTTACACTCAGTGACCAGATACTTAGTGTCGTCCAATCACATGTAAGAACATGAGTGAGTGAGTGAGTTTTGGCTTTACGCCGCTTTTAGCAATATTCCAGCAATATCACGGCGGGGGACATAAGAACATGAGTCTTAATGCCAAGCGCCAGGCAGGGTAACAACAAATCCTGTGTTTTAATGTATTCTTTTCCATATGATGGGGTCAGGGGATCAACCCCCAACCCTCTGGGCAGAAGCACTATCCACTAGTTATTTGTATACAATCTTTCATAATTCACTAGAAAATGATAGATTGTGTGACCTCTAGTGACCATGACATTATAAAGGTCACCTAAAAATGATGTGATCAAGACCTTCCCTTAAAAATTAAGTAAGCTGAGTTTTGTAAACTTCCATTCCTACTCAAGTTCTTGTGTACACATGGTGTTTTTACGCCTAGTTCACAATGAGACTCCTTGACCTTCAACGTCATCCAGTAATATGTTTGAAAATTTGAAGTTTTATATTCTATTGTGCATTCCTCATACATGCTCATTGTAGAATACAAGCTGAAGTCGCTGTTAAGGGCAGGATTGGAAAAAAATGACATTTTCAATATGGCTGCCATGGCAGATATGCTTAAAATTAGATCTGATTCTGTAAACATTCTTCACAAACATAACAACTGAACTCATCCATGGCAAGTTTCAGCTTCAAATGCCTTGTACATTCAGATGAGATGTTAAAAATGTAAACAAGAATGATCCACAAATGGACGATGGACAAAACGTCCAAACATAAGCTCAACTGGCGATGACTTGGCTCATTAAAACAGGAAAATGCCCCTAAAATAACTATGCATGATAGGTGCAAGATCTTGAAAAAACATCTCCTTTACTTAATAAATGTAAATTACCCTATTCTACCATTGCTGGTGCCTGTTTATATTTTTATGATTGATAAAATGTGCCACTGTATAAGAAACAATGGTAAAAAATGGAGATTTTCACAATGAACATAATGATTTCTGTAAGTGCACTGTTTTCCTACCTCTACACTTAAGCAGATAGTTCGTCCTATGGTAAAGACTGCGATGCCTATGTACATGAAGATGTCTGGAGCCCCCAGTGTGAGAGTCAGCACCCTCATCTCATACATGTACATCCACAGGGGTAGAATGTGCAGGCTCCCTACTGCATAGCATCCTAGGGGGCTTTTGAAGCCTGCAAAAGAGGAGTTACTTTGTAACATACCATGATTCCTTGAGTATACTATGTAACATACTACCATCCCTTTAATATACTTTGTAACATACTATGATTCCTTGAGTATACTATGTAACATACTACCATCCCTTTAATATACTTTGTAACATACTATGATTGATCCAGTATACTATGTAACATACTACCATCCCTTTAATATACTTTGTAACATACTATGATTCCTTGAGTATACTATGTAACATACTACCATCCCTTTAATATACTTTGTAACATACTATGATTGATCCAGTATACTATGTAACATACTACCATTCCTTTAATATACTTTGTAACATACTATGATTCCTTGAGTATACTATGTAACATACTACCATTCCTCTAATATACTTTGTAACATACTATGATTGATTCAGTATACTATGTAACATACTACCATCCCTTTAATATACTTTGTAACATACTATGATTCCTTGAGTATACTATGTAACATACTACCATCCCTTTAATATACTTTGTAACATACTATGATTCCTTGAGTATACTATGTAACATACTACCATTCCTCTAATATACTTTGTAACATACAATGATTCCTTGAGTATACTATGTAACATACTACCATTCCTCTAATATACTTTGTAACATACAATGATTCCTTGAGTATACTATGTAACATACTACCATTCCTCTAATATACTTTGTAACATACTATGATTGATTCAGTATACTATGTAACATACTACCATCCCTTTAATATACTTTGTAACATACTATGATTCCTTGAGTATACTATGTAACATACTACCATTCCTCTAATATACTTTGTAACATACTATGATTCCTTGAGTATACTATGTAACATACTACCATCCCTTTAATATACTTTGTAACATACTATGATTCCTTGAGTATACAATGTAACATACTACCATTCCTCTAATATACTTTGTAACATACTATGATTGATCCAGTATACTATGTAACATACTACCATTCCTCTAATATACTTTGTAACATACTATGATTCCTTGAGTATACTATGTAACATACTACCATTCCCCTAATATACTTTGTAACATACTATGATTCCTTGAGTATACTATGTAACATACTACCATCCCTTTAATATACTTTGTAACATACTATGATTGATTCAGTATACTATGTAAGATACAACCATTCCTCTAATATACTTTGTAACATACTATGATTCCTTGAGTATACTATGTAACATACTACCATTCCTTTAATATACTTTGTAACATACTATGATTGATCCAGTATACTATGTAACATACTACCATTCCTCTAATATACTTTGTAACATACTATGATTCCTTGAGTATACTATGTAACATACTACCATTCCTCTAATATACTTTGTAACATACTATGATTGATCCAGTATACTATGTAACATACTACCATTCCTTTAATATACTTTGTAACATACTATGATTCCTTGAGTATACTATGTAACATACTACCATCCCTTTAATATACTTTGTAACATACTATGATTGATCCAGTATACTATGTAACATACTACCATTCCTTTAATATACTTTGTAACATACTATGATTGATTCAGTATACTATGTAACATACTACCATCCCTTTAATATACTTTGTAACATACTATGATTCCTTGAGTATACTATGTAACATACTACCATCCCTTTAATATACTTTGTAACATACTATGATTGATCCAGTATACTATGTAACATACTACCATTCCTTTAATATACTTTGTAACATACTATGATTGATTCAGTATACTATGTAACATACTACCATCCCTTTAATATACTTTGTAACATACTATGATTCCTTGAGTATACTATGTAACATACTACCATCCCTTTAATATACTTTGTAACATACTATGATTCCTTGAGTATACTATGTAACATACTACCATCCCTTTAATATACTTTGTAACATACTATGATTGATTCAGTATACTAAGTAACATACTACCATTCCTCTAATATACTTTGTAACATACTATGATTGATTCAGTATACTATGTAACATACTACCATTCCTTTAATATACTTTGTAACATACTATGATTGATCCAGTATACTATGTAACATACTACCATCCCTTTAATATACTTTGTAACATACTATGATTGATTCAGTATACTATGTAACATACTACCATTCCTTTAATATACTTTGTAACATACTATGATTGATTCAGTATACTATGTAACATACTACCATCCCTTTAATATACTTTGTAACATACTATGATTGATTCAGTATACTATGTAACATACTACCATTCCTTTAATATACTTTGTAACATACTATGATTGATTCAGTATACTATGTAACATACTACCATCCCTTTAATATACTTTGTAACATACTATGATTCCTTGAGTATACTATGTAACATACTACCATCCCTTTAATATACTTTGTAACATACTATGATTCCTTGAGTATACTATGTAACATACTACCATCCCTTTAATATACTTTGTAACATACTATGATTCCTTGAGTATACTATGTAACATACTACCATTCCTCTAATATACTTTGTAACATACTATGATTGATCCAGTATACTATGTAACATACTACCATCCCTTTAATATACTTTGTAACATAATATGATTCCTTGAGTATACTATGTAACATACTACCATTCCTCTAATATACTTTGTAACATACTATGATTGATCCAGTATACTATGTAACATACTACCATTCCTCTAATATACTTTGTAACATACTATGATTCCTTGAGTATACTATGTAACATACTACCATTCCCCTAATATACTTTGTAACATACTATGATTCCTTGAGTATACTATGTAACATACTACCATCCCTTTAATATACTTTGTAACATACTATGATTGATTCAGTATACTATGTAAGATACAACCATTCCTCTAATATACTTTGTAACATACTATGATTCCTTGAGTATACTATGTAACATACTACCATTCCTTTAATATACTTTGTAACATACTATGATTGATCCAGTATACTATGTAACATACTACCATTCCTCTAATATACTTTGTAACATACTATGATTCCTTGAGTATACTATGTAACATACTACCATTCCTCTAATATACTTTGTAACATACTATGATTGATCCAGTATACTATGTAACATACTACCATTCCTTTAATATACTTTGTAACATACTATGATTCCTTGAGTATACTATGTAACATACTACCATCCCTTTAATATACTTTGTAACATACTATGATTGATCCAGTATACTATGTAACATACTACCATTCCTTTAATATACTTTGTAACATACTATGATTGATTCAGTATACTATGTAACATACTACCATTCCTTTAATATACTTTGTAACATACTATGATTCCTTGAGTATACTATGTAACATACTACCATCCCTTTAATATACTTTGTAACATACTATGATTGATCCAGTATACTATGTAACATACTACCATTCCTTTAATATACTTTGTAACATACTATGATTCCTTGAGTATACTATGTAACATACTACCATCCCTTTAATATACTTTGTAACATACTATGATTGATCCAGTATACTATGTAACATACTACCATTCCTTTAATATACTTTGTAACATACTATGATTCCTTGAGTATACTATGTAACATACTACCATCCCTTTAATATACTTTGTAACATACTATGATTGATCCAGTATACTATGTAACATACTACCATTCCTTTAATATACTTTGTAACATACTATGATTGATTCAGTATACTATGTAACATACTACCATCCCTTTAATATACTTTGTAACATACTATGATTCCTTGAGTATACTATGTAACATACTACCATCCCTTTAATATACTTTGTAACATACTATGATTCCTTGAGTATACTATGTAACATACTACCATCCCTTTAATATACTTTGTAACATACTATGATTGATTCAGTATACTAAGTAACATACTACCATTCCTCTAATATACTTTGTAACATACTATGATTGATTCAGTATACTATGTAACATACTACCATTCCTTTAATATACTTTGTAACATACTATGATTGATCCAGTATACTATGTAACATACTACCATCCCTTTAATATACTTTGTAACATACTATGATTGATTCAGTATACTATGTAACATACTACCATCCCTTTAATATACTTTGTAACATACTATGATTGATTCAGTATACTATGTAACATACTACCATCCCTTTAATATACTTTGTAACATACTATGATTGATTCAGTATACTATGTAACATACTACCATTCCTTTAATATACTTTGTAACATACTATGATTCCTTGAGTATACTATGTAACATACTACCATCCCTTTAATATACTTTGTAACATACTATGATTCCTTGAGTATACTATGTAACATACTACCATCCCTTTAATATACTTTGTAACATACTATGATTCCTTGAGTATACTATGTAACATACTACCATCCCTTTAATATACTTTGTAACATACTATGATTGATTCAGTATACTATGTAACATACTACCATTCCTTTAATATACTTTGTAACATACTATGATTGATTCAGTATACTATGTAACATACTACCATTCCTCTAATATACTTTGTAACATACAATGATTCCTTGAGTATACTATGTAACATACTACCATCCCTTTAATATACTTTGTAACATACTATGATTGATTCAGTATACTATGTAACATACTACCATCCCTTTAATATACTTTGTAACATACTATGATTGATTCAGTATACTATGTAACATACTACCATTCCTTTAATATACTTTGTAACATACTATGATTGATCCAGTATACTATGTAACATACTACCATTCCTTTAATATACTTTGTAACATACTATGATTCCTTGAGTATACTATGTAACATACTACCATCCCTTTAATATACTTTGTAACATACTATGATTCCTTGAGTATACTATGTAACATACTACCATCCCTTTAATATACTTTGTAACATACTATGATTGATTAAGTATACTATGTAACATACTACCATTCCTTTAATATACTTTGTAACATACTATGATTGATTCAGTATACTATGTAACATACTACCATTCCTCTAATATACTTTGTAACATACTATGATTCCTTGAGTATACTATGTAACATACTACCATTCCTCTAATATACTTTGTAACATACTATGATTCCTTGAGTATACTATGTAACATACTACCATCCCTTTAATATACTTTGTAACATACTATGATTGATTCAGTATACTATGTAACATACTACCATCCCTTTAATATACTTTGTAACATACTATGATTGATTCAGTATAATATGTAACATACTACCATTCCTTTAATATACTTTGTAACATACTATGATTGATCCAGTATACTATGTAACATACTACCATCCCTCTAATATACTTTGTAACATACTATGATTGATTCAGTATACTATGTAACATACTACCATTCCTCTAATATACTTTGTAACATACTATGATTCCTTGAGTATACTATGTAACATACTACCATTCCTCTAATATACTTTGTAACATACTATGATTGATCCAGTATACTATGTAACATACTACCATTCCTCTAATATACTTTGTAACATACTATAATTGATTCAGTATACTATGTAACATACTACCATCCCTTTAATATACTTTGTAACATACTATGATTGATTCAGTATAATATGTAACATACTACCATTCCTTTAATATACTTTGTAACATACTATGATTGATCCAGTATACTATGTAACATACTACCATTCCTTTAATATACTTTGTAACATACTATGATTGATTCAGTATACTATGTAACATACTACCATTCCTCTAATATACTTTGTAACATACTATGATTCCTTGAGTATACTATGTAACATACTACCATTCCTCTAATATACTTTGTAACATACTATGATTGATCCAGTATACTATGTAACATACTACCATTCCTCTAATATACTTTGTAACATACTATAATTGATTCAGTATACTATGTAACATACTACCATCCCTTTAATATACTTTGTAACATACTATGATTGATTCAGTATAATATGTAACATACTACCATTCCTTTAATATACTTTGTAACATACTATGATTGATCCAGTATACTATGTAACATACTACCATTCCTTTAATATACTTTGTAACATACTATGATTGATTCAGTATACTATGTAACATACTACCATTCCTCTAATATACTTTGTAACATACTATGATTCCTTGAGTATACTATGTAACATACTACCATTCCTCTAATATACTTTGTAACATACTATGATTGATCCAGTATACTATGTAACATACTACCATTCCTCTAATATACTTTGTAACATACTATAATTGATTCAGTATACTATGTAACATACTACCATCCCTTTAATATACTTTGTAACATACTATGATTGATTCAGTATACTATTTAACATACTACCATTCCTCTAATATACTTTGTAACATACTATGATTGATCCAGTATACTATGTAACATACTACCATTCCTCTAATATACTTTGTAACATACCATGATTCCTTGAGTATACTATGTAACATACTACCATCCCTTGAATATACTTTGTAACATACTATGATTCCTTGAGTATACTATGTAACATACTACCATCCCTTGAATATACTTTGTAACATACTATAATTGATTCAGTATACTATGTAACATACTACCATTCCCCTAATATACTTTGTAACAAACTATGATTCCTTGAGTATACTATGTAACATACTACCATCCCTTGAATATACTTTGTAACATACTATGATTGATCCAGTATACTATGTAACATACTACCATTCCTCTAATATACTTTGTAACATACTATGATTGATTCAGTATACTATGTAACATACTACCATCCCTCTAATATACTTTGTAACATACTATGATTCCTTGAGTATACTATGTAACATACTACCATTCCTTTAATATACTTTGTAACATACTATGATTGATCCAGTATACTATGTAACATACTACCATTCCTCTAATATACTTTGTAACATACTATGATTCCTTGAGTATACTATGTAACATACTACCATTCCTTTAATATACTTTGTAACATACTATGATTGATTCAGTATACTATGTAACATACAACCATTCCCCTAATATACTTTGTAACATACTATGATTCCTTGAGTATACTATGTAACATACTACCATCCCTTTAATATACTTTGTAACATACTATGATTGATTCAGTATACTATGTAACATACAACCATTCCCCTAATATACTTTGTAACATACTATGATTCCTTGAGTATACTATGTAACATACTACCATCCCTTTAATATACTTTGTAACATACTATGATTGATTCAGTATACTATGTAACATACTACCATTCCTCTAATATACTTTGTAACATACTATGATTCCTTGAGTATACTATGTAACATACTACCATTCCTCTAATATACTTTGTAACATACTATGATTGATTCAGTATACTATGTAACATACTACCATTCCTCTAATATACTTTGTAACATACTATGATTCCTTGAGTATACTATGTAACATACTACCATTCCTCTAATATACTTTGTAACATACTATGATTGATTCAGTATACTATGTAACATACTACCATCCCTTTAATATACTTTGTAACATACTATGATTCCTTGAGTATACTATGTAACATACTACCATCCCTTTAATATACTTTGTAACATACTATGATTGATTCAGTATACTATGTAACATACTACCATTCCTCTAATATACTTTGTAACATACTATGATTGATTCAGTATACTATGTAACATACTACCATTCCTCTAATATACTTTGTAACATACTATGATTGATTCAGTATACTATGTAACATACAACCATTCCTCTAATATACTTTGTAACATACAATGATTCCTTGAGTATACTATGTAACATACTACCATCCCTCTAATATACTTTGTAACATACAATGATTGATTCAGTATACTATGTAACATACTACCATTCCTCTAATATACTTTGTAACATACTATAATTGATTCAGTATACTATGTAACATACTACCATTCCTCTAATATACTTTGTAACATATTACCATCCCTCTAATATACTTTGTAACATATTACTTTCTCTCTAGTGTACTTTGGGCTCACCATTAGCCATGACCAGTTGGACAAGGGGGGAACTCACCATTAGCCATGACCAGTTGGACAAGGGGGGAACTCACCATTAGCCATGACCAGTTGGACAAGGGTAGGGAACTCACCATTAGCCATGACCAGTTGGACAAGGGGGGAACTCACCATTAGCCATGACCAGTTGGACAAGGGTAGGGAACTCACCATTAGCCATGACCAGTTGGAGAAGGGTAGGGAACTCACCATTAGCCATGACCAGTTGGACAAGGGTAGGGAACTCACCATTAGCCATGACCAGTTGGACAAGGGGGAACTCACCATTAGCCATGTCCAGTTGGACAAGGGTAGGGAACTCACCATTAGCCATGACCAGTTGGACAAGGGGGGAACTCACCATTAGCCATGACCAGTTGGACAAGGGTAGGGAACTCACCATTAGCCATGACCAGTTGGACAAGGGGGGAACTCACCATTAGCCATGACCAGTTGGACAAGGGGGGAACTCACCATTAGCCATGACCAGTTGGACAAGGGTAGGGAACTCACCATTAGCCATGACCAGTTGGACAAGGGGGGAACTCACCATTAGCCATGACCAGCTGGACAAGGGTAGGGAAATGCTCCTCTGGCATCTTCCAGTTGGAGCCCCTGCTGTGTGTGCTCATGAATGTCACCCATTCTACAAACACCACCAGGTAGCCCCACTGAAACACATCAACACTCATCATAAGTGTACTGGTCCTGCATGCTTAACATTCCTTAACCTGCCAATCATATAGCATGCGGACACATGCACTTGTAAATAGCACAGACACATGTCATGTAATATTTTAGTGGTAAACAAAAATTGGTTTTAAACTAGAGTAGCCTCCATTGTCTTTAGTATATCGTCTAACTTGGTGGCGCTTTTCATGCTTCTGGCATGGCTGCAAGCCGTTTGTTTTAATATCATAAATGAGCAGTCATGGCCAAAAGTATACCGGGGTAGATGTAAAACAGAAAAGGAAAGGGACAGGGGCAAAGATGCCCCAAATTATGGACAAGCCTAGCTAAGTTTCATCGCCAGTTAGTCGTCCACTCATCGAATGATCAAAGGGCCAAAATCTGGCAGGAAAGTTTGTAGGCTTGAGTGACAGTGTGCTGATACAGTGAAGAAGTGGAGAGTTGAGGGAATGACAAAGTTTGGAGGAGGAAATGACTTGTCTACGCCTCAAAGCTAAGCGTGAACATCTGAAGAGTGACATCACAACACTTTACAGCCTGATGGACTATCAAACATGGCAGTACAGGAACCAAGATGGCGGACCGTTAGCCGTGCCAATAGGAAAGCAGAATACAGACAGCAGCAACACAGGCAAGAAATGAAACATCCTAGATTTTGTGTGGATAGATTCTCTGGGGTTCCTAGACAATGATATAAACAGTGGAATGAGTATGGACTTTGGTCGCCCTGCTAGAGGAGAGCTAAGCAAACTGACAATTGAAATGTGAGTTTTGCAGTATGGGGGTTTTGAAGGACATAATAAGTTGCAGGGAGGTAGATACCACAGCTGTGATGGATTCCCTAAAGCGAGTACAGCGACCTACACCCAAGATACAGCGACAGGCTCCACACCGGCAGGTGTCATACATGGTGTAAACATCACCCTGTTTTGTGTAACAGGAGACAATTTCAGCAGGATGCAGTTATTGTGTCTTTGGTCTCTAACATTCCTACCATCTTGATGGATTTCCCGTTCATTCAGTTTGTCAACTACAGAATCTGTACAAGGTCAATAAATATTCAGAACCAATTTCTGAGAGAAGGGATCAAGGATCATTCTGTCGCCAAGTAAATATGACATATAAGTCATTCAAAAATAATTTTTAGATCTGAAGTTTACACGATATACGGCTTTTCAATTGGACGAGAGGTCGGTCACATTACCGCGAAATTCACGTTCATAAGTGTATGAACGACACAATTTGACGTTCATACGTTTTTCACGAGACCGTGTTCTTGAAATGACGTAAACACTGACGGACTACTTCCACATTCCTGGGGAAACCCCTGGAAATTCCCTACCACGAAAACATGCATAAGCGTTCTTTCTGATCATTTAGAACCTTTATTCTTGGTCTCAGCATTTCAGTATACTTTGAGAAATGTCAGAGAGCGTGACTGCATGATTGTTCACGAATATCCTCGCTACGGCCCATCCTAATGAACAAACGAAGAAATGCACATCTAAACTATCGTAGTATCGACTCGATCCGTGCCTAGGCTGACATTGACCGTCTCCAGCAATCTATGAATTTACCTTTGTGTCTGTTTGACGCATCTTTATTCACCTTTCAATGATCGGCCAGTTGATTAATGATGACTAACACATGTAACCGCCAAAAGTTCATCAACAACTTCGGAAATCTCTCCCGTCACGTTCAACGTGTCGGCCATTTTGACGTCTTGTACTTGATGTAAATGTATTACGACGCGCTGTCATTGTGACTGACTTACTGAGGTAGTTCTTTACAGACCTTTCTCATCTAATGAGGATATGATTTGAACAAATGTGCTGCGTAAGATGTTTCTGGAGAGCAAGTTGTGCATCCATACGCCCATGTCACCTCTCTTTTTGAGGAACTATTTTACTCCGCGATATAGCTGGTTGTTGTATGGCTGTCAGTGTAAACATGAAGTCACACGTACTAAATAAAATTGTGTTTAGATCTAGGCCTACATCTTTTGAGGTGAGAAATAGTGATAAAAAAATTATAAGAATTGACCTTCACTTTGTGTGAGTTCATTGGAGTATGAACCTTCATAGAGTGAGGGCCAAACATTGTATGAACGTCGTCGCAAGCTCCGACGTTCATACAGTTTGGCCCTCACTCTATGAAGGTTCATACTCCAATGAACTCACACAAAGTGAAGGTCAATTCTTAACACACTTTGCCTGTAACTCAAACTGTATCATATATTCTACCTTGCAGTTCATAATAACTCTAATTACATGCTCATATAGGCATACATTGAACAAGTCACTAAGTACAACAGCTAGACTCAGCCCAAAAATGGGCCCCAGATCTTTGAGCATAGTCTCCCTTTAAAATGTTAATAAATTCTGGACCTTAGTATGTCTCCATACCTTGTACAACGAGCACCACAGCAGGCCTCGGCTGAAGTTGTCAATCACAATGTCAAACTGAAAATGAAGAGACAAGATATACACCACAAAGCTATGTAAGTCACATGATGAGTGACACACTGCATGTTATGTCATGAGGCACAAGAAGATGGTGTTGATAATATTATTACTATATAGAATTACATCTGTGCTGAATCAATGTCATTAAACTGATACTAAGTATAATGAGGCCCTATTAGGCCAGAAACCCTGTTTTGGGGGACAACCTACCAAGGGAAGTTACTCTATACCAATGAAACATTAATCCAAAACCTTGTTAATGAGGACATCTTCACTATGAAGAGAAGCATGTGGATAAACAAGGCGAACTGTTTGTTGCTATTACCCATGCTCCAAAGGCTGACGTCTGGTTCAGTTTTCTTGCTGCATACCCATCTATGCCTGCGAGGAAAACAGAATGTGTTTGGCAAAGATACAATTTCTGTGTCACTCTTTGTACTTCCATCTGGCATTGCGTCCTGCTGGTGAGTTGGAAGGTGTGAGCTGGCAAACCACACATCAGAATTAAAGGGCTGGCCCTTTATATTGTCTGTCTCCTCTCTCCCTCCCCATTCTATGTGACTAGTCCATAATCAAGGTGGCACCATAGATGACACGGCCACTAATACCCCCTGATGAAACGAGTGATATTGTAAGAGATGAAATAGAGCTTCATAACCATGGTAACATGACCTGTACTACTGTCAAACCCCATGATATAAGGGTGAAGCAATATCATTTGCAGTCTGCCATCACTTGCCAACGTTGATGCAAATGATAATGCCCTGAAACATAGCATTACAATTATTATAGTTAAGATGGAGAGCATTCATCCTTCCCATGATAATACGCAATCAAACAACAACGTATGGCAGTTGTCATTTACACGAAGGACACAAACAGAAGTCAGTGTGACTCTGGCTTAGATACTCATTATCAACAATGGATTACGCCACTATTAGTCATGTGACATCAATCGACCTTGGCTTTTGATTCATCCAACATCTGAGAGAAACAGTTTGGGGAGCTAACTGACAGTAAATTAGTAAGCAATGTGTTCAGAGAATCAGCACACCTTCACATGCTGATGCTTCCCCATTGTCGTAGAAGTAACTACATCTGGTCATGTCAATCAATGGCCAGTGTACCAGTAGTGTATACCTACAACACTTATGTACTCTGAAGCCAGGCTAGTCTGTGCTTGCTGTCTCACTTCCTGTTATGTTTCCATGTGTGTCAGTGTGTCACAACATCACATCACATGCATGTGAGCTGAGTCCAAATTAAAATGTGCACACAATGTTTTGTCTCTGTTTTTCCTCATAATCTCAGAGACTATTCTGACTACACAAGTGACCGCTTCTGGTGGAACCATGTCATCACTGCTTGATGATGTCATTGCTTTCAAGAGTATCACCCTGCTATTGGAGGACACATAGAAATACAGTGCTACAGAAAAAATAACTAGTAACTTTAAAAATAGGAGCTGAATGTTCTATAACAAAATATTCTAGCTATGTCACACCTGTAAATAATTCAGTCTGGATAACATGCCTGATAACAAGACTGACCTGTGCTTTTCCTGGCTGCCTGTCATAATACAGTACGGAAACTTGTTTGTTTTTTATCATTTTCTCACACAGAATAGTTGACTTGACTCAGTGTCATGTCCATGGGTATTAGTAAGTTGTCCTTTACCGTTATGAGTGAGTCTATGGACACTATTTTCAGTTTAATGACTACATGTATATGCAGTATTGAGACGTATCATATTGTGGCTTCTGTATTGAGATCTGTAACGTATCATGTGACACCTGTATCGTCACATCCCTAATGACTATTAAGAGCAATGTCCACATCATCGGGGTATGATCCATCAGTCACCTCTTACAATCAGCAGTATTCCCATTGATCTATTCTGACACAATCTCATTAAAATCTGATGTTAGTTCTCGCTACCTCTTGACAAAGATCTGAGGACAGCCCATTACGTGTCACGTCAGAACGACCTTTTGGGAACTTTGACAGACCAGTGGAATGACTGACCAGAAGATGACATTATCCAATCAGAAAGCAGCTTTCTCATGCTTTACGGCACTAGTTTCAAACTGGTGACTATGCTTCAAATGAAATTTGATTGATTGAGATTGATTCAAACACAGAATATCTGTGGGAAGTATTTACAAAGTCACTGTCAGGTAAAACTGATGTCACAACCTGAAATGCCTCAATGCAAATGAAGATCAGAAAACACAATCTGAAACATAAACCAGTATCAGATCACTTAATAATTGATCAACAGTCAGACAAATCTGCTACTATTACCCTGATAACACATGAGACCCCCCATGGGTATCAGGTTGTATCACAGGGGTCAACTATAGGGCATTGTGTAGCTACAATGGCTGTGTACACAGAACCATCTACACATAGGTGAAGATAGCCATACCCATGCCACAAACACTTTTGAAATACACCAGTCAGTCAGGTTCTACTAACACTAATACTCACATGACTATTTCCAGGAGTAAAATTGCATCTCTTGAAACCTTATCAATGACAATATAAAATAAGAACTATTACTGAAACTATTGCTTACCATCTAAAAGTATTGAAATTCCATAAAGGATGGTGCAAGGGACAGGATGGTAGAAGAATACAATCGCAACACTGGCCAACACTATTCTGATGTAGCCTGCAACACAAACAAACACAATCCATAATGACCTTCACCTTTCTTCTTTACACAGTTGCTACCAGTCTGTCTACCAAACCCTAGAGAATAATCTAAAAGTCTAGAATGATTTTGCAAGTCTACATTGCCTCATCACCAAGCCAAGAAATTAAGCATTGATCTGGGCTCCATTTGGATTTCACTTCATATTTTGCAGATATATATAATAAATAAGATAACTTTATTTCTGGGACTAAATGTTAAATTAAGCTTCTACATTCACCTATGGATACTCAGCTAATCATACTAATAATCCCTCCAACAATGGTGGTTTCAATTTTATAGTCACTACATTTGCCATGCTTGGGTGAAGATTCCTAAGAGGTAACAGAAATGTCAGTGAGTAAGTGAGTAAACTTTTTTGTCATGTCAGTATTATTTCAGCCATATTGTTACTGGAGCATTTAATACTTAATATCATAAAAATCCTGTCCACAAAGGACAGAAAAACACCAGTAACATCACATAATAAGTCATAATTTAGTCACTGACTCAATCAATCAATAAATGCAAAATGAACCTTACCAATATTATTGGCTGTTCATCTACCATGTCTACTGTTCCATGCATCATGTATTAACAGATTAAATATATGAGGACAAGAAATATTTCATTTTCTAACGGTACTAATCAGATATGTGTGTGTGGCGGGGGAATCAGCAGTGATCTAGCTGTACCATAGGGACCTGTAAATACACATGAATGGGACACAGTGTTTATCTGTGTGGCGGGGGAATCAGCAGTGATCTAGCTGTACCATAGGGACCTGTAAATACACATGACTGGGACACACTGTTTATCTGTGTGGCGGGGGCATCAGCAGTGATCTAGCTGTACCATAGGGACCTGTAAATACACATGACTGGGACACACTGTTTATCTGTGTGGCGGGGGAATCAGCAGTGATCTAGCTGTACCATAGGGACCTGTAAATACACATGACTGGGACACACTGTTTATCTGTGTGGCGGGGGAATTAGCAGTGATCTAGCTGTACCATAGGGACCTGTAAATACACATGACTGGGACACACTGTTTATCTGTGTGGCGGGGGAATCAGCAGTGATCTAGCTGTACCATAGGGACCTGTAAATACACATGACTGGGACACACTGTTTATCTGTGTGGCGGGGGAATCAGCAGTGATCTAGCTGTACCATAGGGACCTGTAAATACACATGACTGGGACACACTGTTTATCTGTGTGGCGGGGGAATCAGCAGATCTAGCTGTACCATAGGGACCTGTAAATACACATGACTGGGACACAGTGTTTATCTGTGTGGCGGGGGAATCAGCAGTGATCTAGCTGTACCATAGGGACCTGTAAATACACATGACTGGGACACACTGTTTATCTGTGTGGCGGGGGAATCAGCAGATCTAGCTGTACCATAGGGACCTGTAAATACACATGACTGGGACACACTGTTTATCTGTGTGGCGGGGGAATCAGCAGTGATCTAGCTGTACCATAGGGACCTGTAAATACACATGACTGGGACACACTGTTTATCTGTGTGGCGGGGGAATCAGCAGTGATCTAGCTGTACCATAGGGACCTGTAAATACACATGACTGGGACACACTGTTTATCTGTGTGGCGGGGGAATCAGCAGTGATCTAGCTGTACCATAGGGACCTGTAAATACACATGACTGGGACACACTGTTTATCTGTGTGGCGGGGGAATCAGCAGTGACCTAGCTGTACCATAGGGACCTGTAAATACACATGACTGGGACACACTGTTTATCTGTGTGGCGGGGGCATCAGCAGTGATCTAGCTGTACCATAGGGACCTGTAAATACACATGACTGGGACACACTGTTTATCTGTGTGGCGGGGGAATCAGCAGTGATCTAGCTGTACCATAGGGACCTGTAAATACACATGACTGGGACACACTGTTTATCTGTGTGGCGGGGGAATCAGCAGTGATCTAGCTGTACCATAGGGACCTGTAAATACACATGACTGGGACACACTGTTTATCTGTGTGGCGGGGGCATCAGCAGTGATCTAGCTGTACCATAGGGACCTGTAAATACACATGACTGGGACACACTGTTTATCTGTGTGGCGGGTGAATCAGCAGTGATCTAGCTGTACCATAGGGACCTGTAAATACACATGACTGGGACACACTGTTTATCTGTGTGGCGGGGGCATCAGCAGTGATCTAGCTGTACCATAGGGACCTGTAAATACACATGACTGGGACACACTGTTTATCTGTGTGGCGGGGGCATCAGCAGTGATCTAGCTGTACCATAGGGACCTGTAAATACACGTGACTGGGACACACTGTTTATCTGTGTGGCGGGGGAATCAGCAGTGATCTAGCTGTACCATAGGGACCTGTAAATACACATGACTGGGACACACTGTTTATCTGTGTGGCGGGGGAATCAGCAGTGATCTAGCTGTACCATAGGGACCTGTAAATACACATGACTGGGACACACTGTTTATCTGTGTGGCGGGGGAATCAGCAGTGACCTAGCTGTACCATAGGGACCTGTAAATACACATGACTGGGACACACTGTTTATCTGTGTGGCGGGGGAATCAGCAGTGATCTAGCTGTACCATAGGGACCTGTAAATACACATGACTGGGACACACTGTTTATCTGTGTGGCGGGGGAATCAGCAGTGATCTAGCTGTACCATAGGGACCTGTAAATACACATGACTGGGACACACTGTTTATCTGTGTGGCGGGGGAATCAGCAGTGATCTAGCTGTACCATAGGGACCTGTAAATACACATGACTGGGACACACTGTTTATCTGTGTGGCGGGGGAATCAGCAGTGATCTAGCTGTACCATAGGGACCTGTAAATACACATGACTGGGACACACTGTTTATCTGTGTGGCGGGGGAATCAGCAGTGATCTAGCTGTACCATAGGGACCTGTAAATACACATGACTGGGACACACTGTTTATCTGTGTGGCGGGGGAATCAGCAGATCTAGCTGTACCATAGGGACCTGTAAATACACATGACTGGGACACACTGTTTATCTGTGTGGCGGGGGAATCAGCAGTGATCTAGCTGTACCATAGGGACATGTAAATACACATGACTGGGACACACTGTTTATCTGTGTGGCGGGGGAATCAGCAGTGATCTAGCTGTACCATAGGGACCTGTAAATACACATGACTGGGACACACTGTTTATCTGTGTGGCGGGGGAATCAGCAGATCTAGCTGTACCATAGGGACCTGTAAATACACATGACTGGGACACACTGTTTATCTGTGTGGCGGGGGAATCAGCAGTGATCTAGCTGTACCATAGGGACATGTAAATACACATGACTGGGACACACTGTTTATCTGTGTGGCGGGGGAATCAGCAGTGATCTAGCTGTACCATAGGGACCTGTAAATACACATGACTGGGACACACTGTTTATCTGTGTGGCGGGGGCATCAGCAGTGATCTAGCTGTACCATAGGGACCTGTAAATACACATGACTGGGACACAGTGTTTATCTGTGTGGCGGGGGAATCAGCAGTGATCTAGCTGTACCATAGGGACCTGTAAATACACATGACTGGGACACACTGTTTATCTGTGTGGCGGGGGAATCAGCAGTGATCTAGCTGTACCATAGGGACCTGTAAATACACATGACTGGGACACACTGTTTATCTGTGTGGCGGGGGAATCAGCAGTGATCTAGCTGTACCATAGGGACCTGTAAATACACATGACTGGGACACAGTGTTTATCTGTGTGGCGGGGGAATCAGCAGTGATCTAGCTGTACCATAGGGACCTGTAAATACACATGACTGGGACACACTGTTTATCTGTGTGGCGGGGGAATTAGCAGTGATCTAGCTGTACCATAGGGACCTGTAAATACACATGACTGGGACACACTGTTTATCTGTGTGGCGGGGGAATCAGCAGTGATCTAGCTGTACCATAGGGACCTGTAAATACACATGACTGGGACACACTGTTTATCTGTGTGGCGGGGGAATCAGCAGTGATCTAGCTGTACCATAGGGACCTGTAAATACACATGACTGGGACACAGTGTTTATCTGTGTGGCGGGGGAATCAGCAGTGATCTAGCTGTACCATAGGGACCTGTAAATACACATGACTGGGACACAGTGTTTATCTGTGTGGCGGGGGAATCAGCAGTGATCTAGCTGTACCATAGGGACCTGTAAATACACATGACTGGGACACACTGTTTATCTGTGTGGCGGGGGAATCAGCAGTGATCTAGCTGTACCATAGGGACCTGTAAATACACATGACTGGGACACACTGTTTATCTGTGTGGCGGGGGAATCAGCAGTGATCTAGCTGTACCATAGGGACCTGTAAATACACATGACTGGGACACACTGTTTATCTGTGTGGCGGGGGAATCAGCAGATCTAGCTGTACCATAGGGACCTGTAAATACACATGACTGGGACACACTGTTTATCTGTGTGGCGGGGGAATCAGCAGTGATCTAGCTGTACCATAGGGACATGTAAATACACATGACTGGGACACACTGTTTATCTGTGTGGCGGGGGAATCAGCAGTGATCTAGCTGTACCATAGGGACCTGTAAATACACATGACTGGGACACACTGTTTATCTGTGTGGCGGGGGCATCAGCAGTGATCTAGCTGTACCATAGGGACCTGTAAATACACATGACTGGGACACAGTGTTTATCTGTGTGGCGGGGGAATCAGCAGTGATCTAGCTGTACCATAGGGACCTGTAAATACACATGACTGGGACACACTGTTTATCTGTGTGGCGGGGGAATCAGCAGTGATCTAGCTGTACCATAGGGACCTGTAAATACACATGACTGGGACACACTGTTTATCTGTGTGGCGGGGGAATCAGCAGTGATCTAGCTGTACCATAGGGACCTGTAAATACACATGACTGGGACACAGTGTTTATCTGTGTGGCGGGGGAATCAGCAGTGATCTAGCTGTACCATAGGGACCTGTAAATACACATGACTGGGACACACTGTTTATCTGTGTGGCGGGGGAATTAGCAGTGATCTAGCTGTACCATAGGGACCTGTAAATACACATGACTGGGACACACTGTTTATCTGTGTGGCGGGGGAATCAGCAGTGATCTAGCTGTACCATAGGGACCTGTAAATACACATGACTGGGACACACTGTTTATCTGTGTGGCGGGGGAATCAGCAGTGATCTAGCTGTACCATAGGGACCTGTAAATACACATGACTGGGACACAGTGTTTATCTGTGTGGCGGGGGAATCAGCAGTGATCTAGCTGTACCATAGGGACCTGTAAATACACATGACTGGGACACAGTGTTTATCTGTGTGGCGGGGGAATCAGCAGTGATCTAGCTGTACCATAGGGACCTGTAAATACACATGACTGGGACACACTGTTTATCTGTGTGGCGGGGGAATCAGCAGTGATCTAGCTGTACCATAGGGACCTGTAAATACACATGACTGGGACACACTGTTTATCTGTGTGGCGGGGGAATCAGCAGTGATCTAGCTGTACCATAGGGACCTGTAAATACACATGACTGGGACACACTGTTTATCTGTGTGGCGGGGGAATCAGCAGTGATCTAGCTGTACCATAGGGACCTGTAAATACACATGACTGGGACACACTGTTTATCTGTGTGGCGGGGGAATCAGCAGTGATCTAGCTGTACCATAGGGACCTGTAAATACACATGACTCGGACACACTGTTTATCTGTGTGGCGGGGGAATCAGCAGTGATCTAGCTGTACCATAGGGACCTGTAAATACACATGACTGGGACACACTGTTTATCTGTGTGGCGGGGGAATCAGCAGTGATCTAGCTGTACCATAGGGACCTGTAAATACACATGACTGGGACACACTGTTTATCTGTGTGGCGGGGGAATCAGCAGTGATCTAGCTGTACCATAGGGACCTGTAAATACACATGACTGGGACACACTGTTTATCTGTGTGGCGGGGGAATCAGCAGTGATCTAGCTGTACCATAGGGACCTGTAAATACACATGACTGGGACACACTGTTTATCTGTGTGGCGGGGGAATCAGCAGTGATCTAGCTGTACCATAGGGACCTGTAAATACACATGACTGGGACACACTGTTTATCTGTGTGGCGGGGGAATCAGCAGTGATCTAGCTGTACCATAGGGACCTGTAAATACACATGACTGGGACACACTGTTTATCTGTGTGGCGGGGGAATCAGCAGTGATCTAGCTGTACCATAGGGACCTGTAAATACACATGACTCGGACACACTGTTTATCTGTGTGGCGGGGGAATCAGCAGTGATCTAGCTGTACCATAGGGACCTGTAAATACACATGACTGGGACACACTGTTTATCTGTGTGGCGGGGGAATCAGCAGTGATCTAGCTGTACCATAGGGACCTGTAAATACACATGACTGGGAGACACTGTTTATCTGTGTGGCGGGGGAATCAGCAGTGATCTAGCTGTACCATAGGGACCTGTAAATACACATGACTGGGACACACTGTTTATCTGTGTGGCGGGGGAATCAGCAGTGATCTAGCTGTACCATAGGGACCTGTAAATACACATGACTGGGACACACTGTTTATCTGTGTGGCGGGGGAATCAGCAGTGATCTAGCTGTACCATAGGGACCTGTAAATACACATGACTGGGACACACTGTTTATCTGTGTGGCGGGGGAATCAGCAGTGATCTAGCTGTACCATAGGGACCTGTAAATACACATGACTGGGACACACTGTTTATCTGTGTGGCGGGGGAATCAGCAGTGATCTAGCTGTACCATAGGGACCTGTAAATACACATGACTGGGACACACTGTTTATCTGTGTGGCGGGGGAATCAGCAGTGATCTAGCTGTACCATAGGGACCTGTAAATACACATGACTGGGACACACTGTTTATCTGTGTGGCGGGGGAATCAGCAGTGATCTAGCTGTACCATAGGGACCTGTAAATACACATGACTCGGACACACTGTTTATCTGTGTGGCGGGGGAATCAGCAGTGATCTAGCTGTACCATAGGGACCTGTAAATACACATGACTGGGACACACTGTTTATCTGTGTGGCGGGGGAATCAGCAGTGATCTAGCTGTACCATAGGGACCTGTAAATACACATGACTGGGACACACTGTTTATCTGTGTGGCGGGGGAATCAGCAGATCTAGCTGTACCATAGGGACCTGTAAATACACATGACTGGGACACACTGTTGACTGAAGATAAAACAATGATGCATAGAAAATGTCAATTTATGGCATGGCAATGTTTGATAACTTTAGATCTACTCTTATATTATAGGATCTCCATTAATTATTGCACAGAAAAAGAAGATCTACTCTACTATTATAGAACAAGGGCTACAGTTCTAAGTGCTTGATAACAGTGTTTGTATCTACACCGAAATGTTGCATTCATTGTAATAAAGAAATTGTTCATTTTAACAAAGAAGTTGTCATCTTCCTGAGGCAAGAGAGTTAACTGACTATAAAAGTCCAGTTTCCACCCTTGCCAAACTAGTATGGAATTCCTGGGCTCATGGGCGGTGCACATGCTTTGACAAAAATCCGTGCGAAAGTTTACGAACCAGATTTCGATTTCTTTGCGCGATTTTGATTGGACTATGCATAGACTGGTTAGTCCAGATAAAATGTAACCCCATAATACCAGCCTAGTTCGGCAAGGGTGGAAACCGGACTTTTATAGTCAGTTAGCTCTCTTGCCTCGGGAAGATGAGAAGTTGTATATCCAAAGAACTATTCCCCTTGCTCATTATACCAACTACTGAATGTACTTTAATTATCATGATTATTGCATAGAAAATGTCAATTTACATACTTACCTCATAATAAACTATTCAGAAAGCATACACATAACTGCATGGTCATAAAAGCAATGTCTGTCTATAATAAAAGCAGGATGTGTCTTATGTATTATAAAAAAACACATCTACCACTATAATATAACAATTTGCATCAACTAAATACTCAAATGTTTATATTGATGAGGTGGTATCTGTCTTCTGTTGAGTCAGGTGAACCTACGGTATTGCTCACTGTGTAATTGTAGGTGTTGTCAAGTCAAGAGGAGATTATGTAATGCTATCAACTGGTAAGCCAGGGTATCTGCAGCCAGTCTGGGGAACAAAGAGTTATGATACGACCCAAGGGCTGATTTGGTCATTATTTCGTCATTATCTCGTCAAATAAAACATACACATCTTACATGTGTGAATCTGTTGTCCATATAAAACACAAACCTAAATGTTATCTTCATTATATAAGCATGGTTGTTGCCAGCCAGTCACTCAAAACAGTCCCAATTTGTTACACTGAATACTGGCGGTGGTTTATATTACGGATATAGTTTTGGGTGGTAAACTTACCTATAACATTAGGTACAAACAGCAGCACCTCCCACCCCATCGTGCAATATAAAACTGTTGACCTGTCAGTCTACATTGCCAATGTCACCAGTGGTCGTGCAAGCTATCACTTGACTAGAGTGTGCATTGCCATCTATGTTGTACAAACACCGGGGTTCAGAGGTTACGGCCTTCACCCTTTGAACTGGGCGCTCAAGGTGAAGGTCGCAGTTGTTGGCCAACATGGCGATCGGGAACTACGGGGAGTTGGGTCCCGTGATGATGTCAACAGTTGTTTCATTCGTGCTGTTGGTATCTCATTCCGTTACTGCTTTGCCGAATGTGCGGAGTGAGAGAGACATTGATACAAGTAAATACTACCATTACGATGACTTAACAAACTTTCTTCACGATATGGTGAACCAAAACCCAACTATTTCTAAACTTCATGCAGTTGGACAAAGTGTTCAAAACCGGACTCTCTGGGCAGTACAGATCTCTGATAAGATCAACGAAACTGAAGTAGGAGAACCAATGTTCAAATATGTTGGAAATATGCACGGAAATGAAGTGATAAGTAGACAGGTTTTGATATACCTCATACAGTATCTTTTGGAGCAGTATGGAAAAGACGCCAGAGTTACACATATTGTTGACAGCACGAATGTATTCATCATGCCAACTATGAACCCTGATGGCTTCGAGAACGCCGTTGTTGGACAGTGTGCAGGTGTCGAGGGAAGACCAAATGCCAATAGCGTAGATCTTAATAGGAATTTTCCAGATCAGTTTCAAAGTCAACCAGAAAATACTATGCAGCCAGAAACACGAACGCTAATCAACTGGATTGAATCCAACCCATTTGTTTTATCAGCCAACTTGCATGGTGGCAGTGTTGTAGCTAGCTACCCATTTGATGACTCCAGACTTCACAGGCAAGCAGGGAAATACAGTAAAGCACCCGATGACAGTGTATTCAAGCTCCTAGCTCACACCTATGCTGATAACCATTTGCATATGCACGAGGGCAATATTTGTGCAGGTGACGATTTTGCTGCCGAGAGAGGGATAACTAATGGAGCTGCGTGGTATGATGTTCCAGGTAAGCAGATATCACAGCCACTCACCCGGATCTTAGCATTCTCACAGGTTATTGTCAAAGGGGTAACACTTCAACCTGTATCCTCCCTTAAAAATATATATGATTGAAAAGACATTAATGCATACATATATAACGTTTGGAGGGGGGATACAAGCAGAAGTCTTTCCCTCAAATGGCCCACATGTCAAAAGAGCCACAAACACATAAGTCAAGACAGCCACTAAACAAGTCAAACATTGTTTTTTGGTGTTATTTCTGAAATATTCCATGTATAAAGTTGACTGTATCGTTAACTCTGATTTTTGTGAAACTATCAGCAAATGTGTTTATTTCTGTAAGGCTTGATGAGATTTCTGTTATAACAGAATAAGAGGGAATCAAAACGGTGGATGTAGAAGTTTCTCGTTGACTAACCATGCTAACTGGTACCAGTTATCACAATTGTATAAATATCATGTGAGCATGCGTACCGCTTCAGTTATGCAAATTTCATTATTTATTGCCTCTTGGTATCGCACTTAATTATTTTATTTATTAAAATTAAAAAGAAATGCTTTATCAATTTATAGTCTGCCGACTGACATAAACCAGTATTCCCCAAATTCAGTCTTCACATGCATATTCATAACACCATTTAATACCTACGAGGGCAAACATATCAGGGTTCATAAAATTCATATGTGCCCTAGAGTCATTATCACGTCACGAGACGACAGTGTATTGTTTCCGTCATCCGGACGGCACTTTTGATGTCATTCGATTCTTACTGTGATGTGAGGTTGAAATGACATCACATTAGAAATGACATCATAGCTGAAGATTGTTGATGTCATTCAACAAATTGCAGTTCCACTGCTGTTGCGACTTGCTGTCCTCATATCTAAACACTAAAATTTGTCTGTGTATGTAGACGTCTTCTTCGGTAATAAATATATATTCGTGTTCATGTCATTCTGTGTTTACAACACTCTTGCCTAAATTTCGGTATATCCCTCACTCAGGTAATACCAGAATTTGGACACTCGTGTCGTAAACATTGTATGACATGAACATGAACATATTATCCTCTATATGTGTGCTATGGATTTTGCGTTATGTTCAGGTCATGCCCTTGGGAAAATTAGTTAACTTTTGGTTTTAGATTTGTATTTTGAGGAAGAAATGACAAACAGAGTGTAAGCAATAACGAAGCAACAGTAAAAGGAGATTCGAAAACGGCACGTTATAACAGGGGTTAGTGATAAATGATCCTCAGTGATAACTGGTCACTAGCCAGGGGTCAAAATGGCTAAATCAAAAAGCCAAAAGTGGTGACATCATGAATTTTGAAGTATACATTTTGTGTGTTTTAAATCTTTATTTGTTTCATAACAAATGTCTTTGACTGTAGAGATGGTAGACATGCATCAGCATCACAAAGCACATCTTCATTCTGTTTGTACCTCAACTGATATCCTTCTGTTTGTACCTCAACTGATATCCTTCTGTTTGTACCTCAACTGACATCCTTCTGTTTGTACCTCAACTGACATCCTTCTGTTTGTACCTCAACTGATATATCCTTCTGTTTGTACCTCAACTGACAGCCTTCTGTTTCTACCTCAACTGATATATCCTTCTGTTTGTACCTCAACTGACATCCTTCTGTTTGTACCTCAACTGATATATCCTTCTGTTTGTACCTCAACTGACATCCTTCTGTTTGTACCTCAACTGACATCCTTCTGTTTGTACCTCAACTGACATCCTTCTGATTGTACCTCAACTGACATCCTTCTGTTTGTACCTCAACTGACATCCTTCTGTTTGTACCTTAACTGATATCCTTCTGTTTGTACCTCAACTGATATCCTTCTGTTTGTACCTCAACTGATATCCTTCTGTTTATGCCCCAACTGATATCCTTCTGTTTGTGACTTTCCCAGGTGGCATGCAGGACTACAACTACCTCCACAGCAACTGTTTGGAGATCACACTGGAGTTGTCCTGCTGCAAGTACCCCCCAGTCTCCTCCCTCCCCATGGAGTGGGACAACAACAAACTGGCTTTGTTGGCATACATGGAAATGGTAAAGATAATATTGTTCAATTTTCAATTAATATTGGTCAAAGTAGACATTTTATAAGCTATTGTTTGTTTTGCCATGTAACTACCTAAACCTGAATTCATATTGTAGCAGTGATAATGACATGAAACCAGTTCTCTTTCCTTGCCATGTAGGCTGACAACTACAGCCTACAGATAGCAGGACCAAAGGCACCAGGTGATGCTTAGTGCCTCTCCTTGTAGATTCAGTGATACACATCCTGTCAGAGTTGATGAAAACCTGTGGTCAGTGATGTCTAGCTGATGAACAAAAGCAGGAAGAAGCAAACCATGTCATCCTGTTCATGTGTCACCTAATGGTCACCGTAGACTTGCTGTCTTCATTGATGTTGTGTTTTAGTGTTCACCCCGTGACTATGTCATACTTGTCACCTTTTAGTAATTTCACATGTATAGTTTACGTTTTTTGCTCGCAATGTTCAACTGGTTTAATGATAGTAAATATTGATGTTTTAACCATGTTTACAACCTATGAAATCATTTAATAGAATGCATGAAACATGATCACAATGATTTATTGAATGGTAGCTGGAGCCTTATGGTAGATGTCTACATACAACAGTAAAACAACATATCAATTCTATAGGCGAAGGCAGATGGCAGTTCATCTCAATCCTCTTGTGTCAATTTAAGCACAGAATAACACAGATATGCAAATTACTGGAAACAGTGATGTGTTGTGATCAAGATCAAGATTAGTGACATGGTGGAGTAGTGACAGGGTAGAGTAGTGACAGGGTAGAGTAGTGACATGGTGGAGTAGAGACATGGTGGAGTAGTGACATGGTGGAGTATTGACAGGGTAGAGTAGTGACAGGGTAAAGTAGAGACATGGTGGAGTAGTGACATAGTGGAGTAGTGACAGGGTAGAGTAGTGACAGGGTGGAGTAGTGACAGGGTAGAGTAGTGACAGGGTAGAGTAGTGACAGGGTAAAGTAGAGACATGGTGGAGTAGTGACATAGTGGAGTAGTGACAGGGTAGAGTAGTGACATAGTGGAGTAGTGACAGGGTAGAGTAGAGACATGGTGGAGTAGTGACAGGGTAGAGTAGTGACATGGTGGAGTAGTGACAGGGTAGAGTAGAGACATGGTGGAGTAGTGACAGGGTGGAGTAGTGACAGGGTAGAGTAGTGACATAGTGGAGTAGTGACAGGGTAGAGTAGTGACATGGTGGAGTACAGACAGGGTAGAGTAGTGACAGGGTAGAGTACTGACAGGGTAGAGTAGTGACATGGTGGAGTAGTGACAGGCTAGAGTAGAGACAGGGTAGAGTAGTGACAGGGTAGAGTAGTGACATAGTGGAGTAGTGACAGGGTAGAGTAGTGACATGGTGGAGTAGTGACAGGCTAGAGTAGAGACAGGGTAGAGTAGAGACAGGGTGGAGTAGCGACAGGGTAGAGTAGTGACATAGTGGAGTAGTGACAGGGTAGAGTACTGACAGGGTAGAGTAGTGACATGGTGGAGTAGTGACAGGGTAGAGTAGAGACAGGGTAGAGTAGTGACATGGTGGAGTAGTGACAGGGTAGAGTAGTGACATTGTAGAGTAGTGACAGGGTAGAGTAGTGACATGGTGGAGTAGTGACATGGTGGATTAGTGACATAGTGGAGTAGTGACAGGGTAGAGTAGTGACATGGTGGAGTAGTGACAGGGTAGAGTAGAGACAGGGTGGAGTAGTGACAGGGTGGAGTGGTGACAGGGTAGAGTAGTGACATGGTGGAGTAGTGACAGGGTAGAGTAGTGACATAGTGGAGTAGTGACAGGGTAGAGTAGTGACAGGGTAGAGTAGAGACAGGGAGGAGTAGTGACAGGGTAGAGTAGAGACAGGGTGGAGTACAGACAGGGTAGAGTAGTGACAGGGTGGAGTAGTGACAGGGTGGAGTAGTGACAGGGTAGAGTAGTGACATGGTGGAGTAGTGACATGATGGAGTAGAGACATGGTGGAGTAGTGACAGGGTAGAGTAGAGACAGGGTAGAGTAGAGACAGGGTGGAGTAGTGACAGGGTGGAGTGGTGACAGGGTAGAGTAGTGACAGGGTGGAGTAGTGACAGGATGGAGTGGTGACAGGGTAGAGTAGTGACATGGTGGAGTAGAGACATGGTGGTGTAGTGACAGGGTAGAGTAGAGACAGGGAGGAGTAGTGACAGGGTAGAGTAGAGACAGGGTGGAGTGGTGACAGGGTAGAGTAGTGACAGGGTGGAGTAGTGACATTGTAGAGTAGTGACATTGTAGAGTAGTGACATAGTGGAGTAGTGACAGGGTAAAGTAGAGACATGGTGGAGTAGTGACATAGTGGAGTAGTGACAGGGTAGAGTAGTGACATAGTGGAGTAGTGGCAGGGTAGAGTAGTGACAGGGTAGAGTAGTGACATAGTGGAGTAGTGGCAGGGTAGAGTAGTGACAGCGTAGAGTAGAGACAGGGTATAGTAGTGACATGGTGGAGTAGTGACATGGTAGAGTAGTGAAAGCAGCATTAGAAATTGGCACTAGTCCTATAGTCCTTACCAAACTGTCCAATGGTAAAGGTATCCTAAGGACTAGTAGAAATTTGCCCATTTTAAGGGTTTTGCTATATATTATCATTATAAGGACTAGTGGACAAAAACTGTTAGTTTCTAACCCCTGGAAAGGTCGAGTAGTGGCAGAGCAATGGCCTCCACATCCAGGCAAAACATCAAACATTTCTGGTTATGTTGAAAACCTGGGTCAGAATTCATATGAATAAAGATCATGCACTCGGTTAGCAATCTCCCCTCTTAGTTTCAGGTTTCTTGGTTGATTGTTGTTTGTTTTTATGTACAAGCAACATTTTAAACTGTACTGCATTTTCACTGAAACATTTACAAATTTGCCAAAAAAGATTATTTGTTTTTGAGATATATTTGTAGAAAATGTTCATCTTCAAGGGATCAATAGTCATTGAACACTTATTATACTTGTTTCATAAAGTTCATATTCAAATGACTAACAGTCACTTAACACTGTCATCATAATTGGTTGATAAAGTTCTCTGGAACACAGCACTCATGTTTTCCTCATGAAACGTCAGCCCTTTCATTAAAGCTCCAGATGCCCTCATAAATTGTCTTCAAAAGTAGTTGTGATGAATGATGATGGACCCTTCTTGGCTAGACAGTCTGCCCACTGTTGTTCTGTGGATGCCCAGTGAAGTTCATTTATTTCTCCTGCACCCATCATGCCCATAAGTTCTTTAACTGCTCTTTCAAGCTATAATCTTTTATCAGCTACAAACTTCTTTGACTTCACTGCGTCACACAATGAACGATTATCAACGATGCATAATATTGGCAAACTAGCACCATGAGTACTTGATGCACAGTTAATTTGACTGATAGATAGTTGAGAAAATAAAGTTGCCAGGAAAAGTGCATTGTCTATTCCGTCTACCAAGGCCAATCTCTAGCCTGCCAATGTGCTTCCACAATGTGACGTCCTGTGTTCCACCATCAGGCAAGTTCCCCAAGGAAACATCACTGAAAACTACAAGTTTCAGAGAATTTTCTTCACCAAGATATTGAAATTTCAAAGGAACTTTTTCACTGTTAATTTTTCTAATCACTTTGTATCAAGGACATGCTGAACAGTTGTCACTTTCATTGAAGATGCCAAACCACATGTATGAAACACTGTATCTGGCCTGCTTTGTCTGGCTACCCATAAAATCTGACCAACTTTGGACCTGTACTTCTCAAGCTCTCCTGCAGTCAAAGGAGAATCCTTTTGAGACATTCTGGATGTATCAAGTTTGATTAATTGTAAGTTCTTAATGTACTCATGCTGATGTAGAAGGATAGTTTCATTTAAACTGATTAGTTTCATGCCCACATGACGAAAAGCAGATTCCTCTTCTCGACAGACATTTAATGAAGATCGTACATTTGAAATGACAGTTCTTTCAAATACTTTTGTTCTACCCCATATGAAATCATCTACTTGACTTGCTAGAACTCTTTGAACATCACCATTGCACAGCCAGAAGAAAACTGCAGGATCTACCAATGTGTTGATGCCCCACTGTTCTGCATAACCTCAAACACTTTGTTGTACCAAAAGAGAAGCATCAGCCAAGCCACACACCCATTTCTTTAATTTCCAAAGAAAACCTTCAACTTTAGCTTCTTTAGTTTGGATGGTTACAAATATCTCTTGTTAGCTGTGCACCTTGTGAAAAAGCTGTTTTTAATGTCCTTAGAGTGAGGTAATGATTTACGGTGAGCTATTACAGCCAATAGAATTCTCAGTGATTGGAGAATCCTTTGGTAAATGTTTTGTCTCAACCTCCTCGAAACCTCTTGTCTAATCACCACAAGCTGTAAATGCCAGTTGTCTATCTCTCACTGATAATTCAGCATTGTCTAAGTCCTTGAAAGCAAGTACAGTGTCTGATAAAGTCATCTCATACTTTTGTGACTTGTTACCAATATTCAAATTCTAGATTGTAGTTATTCATATTCAAAGTGTCTAATTTCTTGAAATTTTCAAAGTTTGAGTAAGCTTCACACGCTCTTTGTTTTTTTTCTGTCATAAAAGCACCATCCAAGTTCGTCATAAGTACAGCCATACATGTTCAACTCATCACCTGTTATCTTCTTTGCCTTATCGCTGGCTGTTCCACCCAGCCACAACGTCACCGCTAATGCTTGATTCTCTGGTTTCAAACCTATGATACGTCGCCATATTTCTATCTCGTATTTCAATTCTTCATACGTTTTTCAAACTTCAGAGGCTACTTGTCATTGATAGTAGCCATGGTTAAAGCCACCCACATGAGACACAACCACCCACCCCACGAAACGCAACCACCCACCCCCACCAGAGACGCAACCACCCACCCCCACAACACAAGACAATAACCACACCAACTTCTCAAACACAATTCTAAGAGGTATCTGCAATAATTATATTTGTTGTTTAGTCAAGAAATCTGCTGCTACTGGGGCCATGATGGATGTTCTTGTTATATTGCATTACTTTTACAGGTACTGCACATAAAGAAATACTAATGACTCATTGCAATATTGCATTTACATTTTATTCAAAATATTGCAGCTGGTGGCATGAATGATCCAGGTGATCATAGCGATGTCCACTTCATTTGTCATGAAGCATTCGTTTGATTATCTTCCATCTGAAAAGATCAAATCTATGTTTATAGTCGATTAATATCAGGGATCTGTATAATCATAACTAAATGAGTAGGACACGTGGCAATATATTTTTCATAAACACTCTTTTTATCAAACAAGCCATAACTATTATGAGTTAATTATTTACATAAATATAATGGAAGGTGTGAGATGATAGATTTACATTCGCAATAAACACCTCAGCAGCACCTGAAAAATATATAGAGGATGGTGTTGTTAAGTGTTGCCGGAGCACGACATAGTTCGGAGGTATTCTCAACAGAGTGGAACAAAGCTCAGGCCTCTTGGCAAGTCTAAATATTATAAAAACATGTATAACTACATGTATCTTGACAAGGGATTGCCGCTTGAGATAGTTATAGGTAGTTCCTGACTATGTGAGTACAGTAATTCAGCATCATTACTCAATATTTATGGTTAAGTGTTCCTTGATCAGACAGTTGACAGTCCATAATTCCATGGAGCCCAATAGATCGTCCCCGACTCGCAGTGTTATTTGCCTGTTGAATCATTCTCATTATCACATCCAGCATGCTTGTGTGTAATAGATCTTACACACCTGTTGTAGTGTTAGCATGATCCTCCATATATCACAATATTAATGAGCATGGCAGTATCTCACAGCTACTTTCAATGACAACATTGTGAGATTGATTTTCAGAGCTAGGTATAAAGTGACTGATAGCGTCCCTCTGTGCACCAGGTTGAACATGGTGCATCTGATGTAGTCTCTGTAAAAGCAATGAGTATTTAGTTCACATCAATAGGCTATGTTGTGTCTGTAGCAGATGCGGGACGACATACACACCTGTCATCAAGTACACTGTGTATGCATGCAGATGTGTGATGTCACAGAGTAACCCTGAAGGTTAGGGGATGCTTTCCCCATATAGACTATGTACCAAAATGAATGGGCTTTTTATCAGGGTTGTGCAGTTTCTAAACATATCTACCATTGAATATTTTGAAATACAATTTGAAAGACGAACCATATCATTCATATCATTCATACATATCAAAGTATAAGATGAGAGCTGCTAACTACAACTACCTTTTCTCTCTCTGGAGAGCTGCTAACTATGACTACCTTTTCTCTCTCTGGAGAGCTGCTAACTACAACTACCTTTTCTCTCTCTGAAGAGCTGCTAACTACGACTACCTTTTCTCTCTCTGGAGAGCTGCTAACTATGACTACCTTTTCTCACTCTGGAGAGCTGCTAACTATGACTACCTTTTCTCTCTCTGGAGAACTGCTAACTATGACTACCTTTTCTCTCTCTGGAGAGCTGCTAACTACAACTACCTTTTCTCTCTCTGGAGAGCTGCTAACTATGACTACCTTTTCTCTCTCTGGAGAGCTGCTAACGACGACTACCTTTTCTCTCTCTGGAGAGCTGCTAACTATGACTACCTTTTCTCTCTCTGAAGAGCTGCTAACTACGACTACCTTTTCTCTCTCTGGAGAGCTGCTAACTATGACTACCTTTTCTCTCTCTGGAGAGCTGCTAACTATGACTACCTTTTCTCTCTCTGAAGAGCTGCTAACTACAACTACCTTTTCTCTCTCTGGAGAGCTGCTAACTATGACTACCTTTTCTCTCTCTGGAGAGCTGCTAACTACAACTACCTTTTCTCTCTCTGGAGAGCTGCTAACTACGACTACCTTTTCTCTCTCTGGAGAGCTGCTAACTATGACTACCTTTTCTCTCTCTGGAGAGCTGCTAACTACAACTACCTTTTCTCTCTCTGGAGAGCTGCTAACTACGACTACCTTTTCTCTCTCTGGAGAGCTGCTAACTATGACTTCCTTTTCTCTCTCTGGAGAGCTGCTAACTATGACTACCTTTTCTCACTCTGGAGAGCTGCTAACTATGACTACCTTTTCTCTCTCTGAAGAGCTGCTAACTACGACTACCTTTTCTCTCTCTGGAGAGCTGCTAACTACGACTACCTTTTCTCTCTCTGGAGAGCTGCTAACTATGACTACCTTTTCTCACTCTGGAGAGCTGCTAACTATGACTACCTTTTTTTTCCCCCCAGGAGTACAAGAAATTTATTGAAAATTATCCCAAACATCTGAAATTGAGTGTCATTAATAATTTGTTGTAGTATAGGTATGTCTGATTCTACTTTCATTAGATTTAACTTGAATGTTAGTGTGTCATATTCATAATCACAGTGGACCAGCTAACAGCCATGATAGACAGTGTCAAACTGCCTCCATCCCTTGTTTCTTGTAAGACGTCACAAAGTGGATGGATTGGACATTGGTCATAACATCAGTCACTGGTTTGTCTGGCACAGACTCTATTATATAGTCAGGTCTCTGTCAAATAGTTGGAATACAGCAGTGTCTGCTGCCTGGCATGTGAGGTCACAGAGAGGTCAGGCTGACTGACGGGTCATGTTGATAACTTGTGACACAGTTGAAGCTGCACACTAACATTCCCAGCCCGCCCAACTGCCCCCTGGTGTGTGTAGTCTCAGGGTCACTACCTGAGTACTTAACGGTACTTAATGCTGTGATTATCTTCAGTGAAACTGTATTAACGCATACCGCATGTAAACTTATTAACAAATGTCAACATCCTTCCCAGTTCATATTTATATTTTTGCCTGATGTGTTCTGGAGCAGGCATCCACTGCCTTCATTTGTTGGTCACTGAAACTTACTACAAAACACATACCCTGTGTACATGTGTTAAGTCCCTCCAACTAGTACCAGATTCATGTGTGTCTGACTATGAAGTCACCAGGCTTCATATTGTTTATATCCCACAGCTTGTGTTCTGGAATCACATCACAGTAACAAGTCTCATGGTGCACATTGCAAGCTGCAGTGACATATGTCACACAAACCCATGTGGCACAGGGATCAACTCAAGTCAACTGTTAGGCCATCCATATTTTGCCCATTTGTCCTAAACCACTGCTAAAAAATAATGAAGGTTTTGACATCTACCCATTCATCCGCTATTTATCAGCCTCAACAAGAATAACACATTTTACCTATCATACAACACTGGTGCTGTATTTCATTGGAAGGATATTTGATGAAGGAACTTACATCTTAGGTACTGTTAAGGAAATTAAGTATTATGTATGTGAAGTGATCGCACACAGGAGAAACACATATTAATTGCAAACATGGGTATTCTGATTCGCTTTATAGACGGGGTATAGAAAATTAGCATCGATTTTGAAGGCTTGTAGAGAGGTGTCACCTTATACTATGATATATGGTACAACGTGGTTTTTTTTTTGTCTTTTGCTTTCTGCTTCCCTAGGTCTTCAAAATTCTGACTAATCACACCATTTTAAATTATGCACAGTACAGGGGTACACACCATTGTTCATATCTAATGCTACCATCACACCAAAGTAGTTCTATCCCGTTCTACCCCGTTCTAAAAAAAATACTAGAATGGGCTGTGATCACGGTAGAACGGGTAGTTTGGCGTAAAATACGATGCTACTCGTTCCTAAGCAGTCCTCAATACGTCTATTTCATTCTTATCTCGTTCTTGGCGAGACTGCAGACCGTTTGTATCCAGTTCAGATCGTGTAAAAATGCTCGCTCACCTCATACTGATAACGCTTCGAAGCCGTTCGAGCACGTCCATAGCCGTTCTTAACCCATTCTTAACCAGTTCAACCTCGTTCTACCTCGTTCTACCTCGTTCACAATATGTCCAAGCCAGTTCTAACTAATTCTTAACCCGACCAACTCGTTCGCAGTACGTCCTCATCTTGTCCAAAGTGCGTGTGTATTAGCGTCCTGGCCCGTCCTGGCCCGACTCCTATGGATACCGAGCGCGTTGTCGCCAGTCTTCATTCAAGTTCAGGGCTCTGAGCTGTACACATCATGCCCCCAAAGAGAAGTCGACCCGGTCAGGGTGCACACGTACTGAAATTTACGTCGGACTGCACCACGTCGTAACATGTCCCTAGTACGTTCGAAGTACGGCAATTCCCTTCGTAATACATCTTTCTCGTTTTAAGTACGTTGTCAATCTGACCAATTGCAGAACAGGATGGACGGGATAAAATTTTGAGCAGACCCAAAGTTCTAGAGCACCCTCCCCGTCCGAGCCCGTCCATATGGTCATAAAAAGACTGTCAATAGTTGCTGCTACGTCTGCTACGTTCATACACATGGAGATGGAAAGTACACAATAACATGGATCCAGGCCTCATCAGCATCTTCGATCTCTTGGATATATTCCTCAGGACAATTAGACAGAACTGAACCTTTTGTATGCATCAACAAATGCATATGACTTTATAAACAATGTTAAATATATTCTTTTTCTGAAACACAGGTCCCATTTGTCAGAATCAAAATGACTATTAGCAACTTAAAGTGGAGGCCTGATGATCAATACACTTTGAGGGCGTCATAGTTGTTGACTGTATATAGCATTTCAAGTTGCTTTGAGGCCACTCAGCTTGAAATTCCTACAACATGCTTAAGTATTAAGTTTTGTATCAATGTCTTTTTCTGCATTATAACAGTAATTCCAACAGTAAATTTGAATGTAATGTTATTTGTTTTAGGTTGATGCAGCATGCTGGATCAACTGTCGAGTGATACATGATACCCATACAGTTGGATGAAGGTGGAATCTGTTGGACAATATGTAACTAAATCATGACTGTTTCAGGTCCACATCGGCATCCATGGCTTTGTGAAGGACAGTGAAACAGGTGCCGGCATCAAAGGTGCGGTGGTGATGGTAGAGGGCATCAAGCACAACATCACATCGGTGGATGCCGGGGCGTACTGGAGACTGCTGACTCCTGGCAACCATACTGTCACTGTGCATGCTGATGGGTAAGTCTGTCCACAAACCCACTGACGAGTAAGTCTGTCCACACACCCACTGACGAGTAAGTCTGCCCACACATCCACTGACAGGTAAGTCTGTCCACACATCCACTGATAGGTAAGTCTGTCCACACATCCACTGTCAGGTAAGTCTGTCCACACATCCACTGATAGGTAAGTCTGTCCACACATCCACTGACAGGTAAGTCTGTCCACACATCCACTGACAGGTAAGTCTGTCCACACATCCACTGTCAGGTAAGTCTGTCCACACACCCACTGACGAGTAAGTCTGTCCACACACCCACTGACAGGTAAGTCTGTCCACACATCCACTGACAGGTAAGTCTGTCCACACACCCACTGACGAGTAAGTCTGCCCACACATCCACTGACAGGTAAGTCTGTCCACACATCCACTGTCAGGTAAGTCTGCCCACACATCCACTGATAGGTAAGTCTGTCCACACACCCACTGTCAGGTAAGTCTGTCCACACATCCACTGACAGGTAAGTCTGTCCACACATCCACTGTCAGGTAAGTCTGTCCACACATCCACTGACAGGTAAGTCTGTCCACACATCCACTGACAGGTAAGTCTGTCCACACATCCACTGACAGGTAAGTCTGTCCACACATCCACTGACAGGTAAGTCTGTCCACACACCCACTGATAGGTAAGTCTGTCCACACATCCACTGACAGGTAAGTCTGTCCACACACCCACTGACAGGTGTCTGTCCACACACCCACTGATAGGTAAGTCTGTCCACACATCCACTGACAGGTAAGTCTGTCCACACATCCACTGACAGGTAAGTCTGCCCACACATCCACTGACAGGTAAGTCTGTCCACACATCCACTGACAGGTAAGTCTGCCCACACACCCATTGACAGGTAAGTCTGCCCACACATCCACTGACAAGTAAGTCTGTCCACACATCCACTGACAGGTAAGTCTGTCCACACATCCACTGACAGGTAGGTCTGCCCACACATCCACTGACAGGTAAGTCTGTCCACACACCCACTGACAGGTAAGTCTGTCCACACACCCACTGACAGGTAAGTCTGTCCACACACCCACTAATAGGTAAGTCTGTCCACACATCCACTGACAGGTAAGTCTGCCCACACATCCACTGACAGGTAAGTCTGCCCACACATCCACTAACAGGTAAGTCTGTCCACACATCCACTGACAGGTAAGTTTGCCCACACATCCATTGACAGGTAAGTCTGCCCACACATCCACTGACAGGTAAGTTTGCCCACACATCCATTGACAGGTAAGTCTGTCCACACATCCACTAACAGGTAAGTTTGCCCACACATCCACTGACAGGTAAGTCTGTCCACAAACCCACTGACAGGTAAGTCTGCCCACACATCCACTGACAGGTAAGTCTGCCCACACATCCACTAACAGGTAAGTTTGCCCACACATCCACTAACAGGTAAGTCTGTCCACAAACCCACTGACAGGTAAGTCTGCCCACACATCCACTGACAGGTAAGTCTGCCCACACATCCACTAACAGGTAAGTCTGCCCACACATCCACTGACAAGTAAGTCTGTCCACACATCCACTGACAAGTAAGTCTGTCCACACATCCACTGACAGGTAAGTTTGCCCACACATCCACTGACAAGTAAGTCTGTCCACACATCCACTAACAGGTAAGTCTGCCCACACATCCACTGACAAGTAAGTCTGTCCACACATCCACTGACAAGTAAGTCTGTCCACACATCCACTGACAGGTAAGTTTGCCCACACATCCACTGACAGGTAAGTCTGCCCACACATCCACTGACAGGTAAGTCTGCCCACACATCCACTGACAGGTAAGTCTGTCCACACATCCACTGACAGGTAAGTCTGCCCACCGATTCCACTAACAGGTAAGTCTGCCCACACACCCACTGACAGGTAAGTCTGTCCACACATCCACTGACAGGTAGGTCTGCCCACACATCCACTGACAGGTAAGTCTGTCCACACATCCACTGACAGGTAAGTCTGTCCACACATCCACTGACAGGTAAGTCTGCCCACACATCCACTGACAGGTAAGTTTGCCCACACATCCACTGACAGGTAAGTCTGCCCACACATCCACTGATAGGTAAGTCTGTCCACACATCCACTGACAGGTAAGTCTGTCCACACATCCACTGACAGGTAAGTCTGCCCACCGATTCCACTAACAGGTAAGTCTGCCCACACACCCACTGACAGGTAAGTCTGTCCACACATCCACTGACAAGTAAGTCTGCCCACACATCCACTGACAGGTAAGTCTGTCCACACACCCACTGACAGGTAAGTCTGTCCACACACCCACTGACAGGTAAGTCTGTCCACACACCCACTAATAGGTAAGTCTGTCCAACACCCACTGACGAGGAAGTCTGTCCACACACCCACTGATGGGTAAGTCTGGTGTTTCATTCTAACCATCTGTCTCATGATAAGTAGCAAACCTTGAAAACGTGGATATTGGGTTTAATGTATGGTGTGTGTGTGTAGGTACAAGGCGCTGACGCTGATGGTTACTGTCCCTGAAGGACCCGGAATAATACAGGACTTCCTGCTGAGCAAGCCACAAGACAAGTGAGTACCTAGAAGTACCATCAGGACAACCTTCTCAGCCAATCCCCTACCTTGTGGACCATTAGCAAAACCTTCTCAGCCCATCCCCCACCTAGTGGCACATCAGCAATACCTTCACAAATCATGCCCCACCTTGTGGCACATCAGCAAAACCTTCTCAACCCATCCCCCACCTAGTGGCACATCAGCAAAACCTTCACAAATCATGCCCCACCTAGTGGCACATCAGCAAAACCTTCTCAACCCATCCCCCACCTAGTGGCACATCAGCAAAACCTTCACAAATCATGCCCCACCTTGTGGCACATCAGCAAAACCTTCTCAACCCATCCCCCACCTAGTGGCATATCAGCAAAACCTTCTCAACTCATCCCCCACCTGGTGGCACATCAGCAAAACCTCAACCCATCCCCCACCTAGTGGCACATCAGCAAAACCTTCTCAACCCATCCCCCACCTTGTGGCACATCAGCAAATCTTCTCAAGTCATGCCCCACCTAGTGGCACATCAGGACAACCTTCTCAACCCATCCCCCACCTAGTGGCACATCAGGACAACCTTCTCAACCCATCCCCCACCTAGTGGCACATCAGAACAACCTTCTCAACCCATCCACAACCTAGTGACACATCAGCAAAACCTTCTCAACCCATCCCCCAACTAGTGGCACATCAGCAAAACCTTCTCAACCCATCCACAACCTAGTGACACATCAGCAAAACCTTCTCAAGTCATGCCCCACCTAGTGGCACATCAGGAAAACCTTCTCAACCCATCCCCAACCTTGTGGCACATCAACAAAACCTTCTCAACCCATCCCCCAACTAGTGGCACATCAGCAAAACCTTCTCAAGTCATGACCCACCTAGTGGCACATCAGGACAACCTTCTCAACCCATCCCCCACCGTGTGGCACATCAGCAAAACCTTCTCAACCCGACCCCCACCTAGTGCCTCATCAGAACAACCTTCTCAACCCATCCCCCACCCAGTGGCACATCAGAACAACCTTCTCAACCCATCCCCCACCTAGTGGCACATCAGGACAACCTTCTCAACCCATCCCCCACCTAGTGGCACATCAGCAAAACCTTCTCAACCCATCCCCCACCTAGTGGCATATCAGCAAAACCTTCTCAACTCATCCCCCACCTGGTGGCATATCAGCAAAACCTTCTCAACCCGACCCCCACCTAGTGGCATATCAGCAAAACCTTCTCAACCCATCCCCCACCTTGTGGCACATCAGCAAAACCTCAACCCATCCCCCACCTAGTGGCACATCAGCAAAACCTTCTCAACCCATCCCCCACCTTGTGGCACATCAGCAAATCTTCTCAAGTCATGCCCCACCTAGTGGCACATCAGGACAACCTTCTCAACCCATCCCCCACCTAGTGGCACATCAGGACAACCTTCTCAACCCATCCCCCACCTAGTGGCACATCAGAACAACCTTCTCAACCCATCCACAACCTAGTGACACATCAGCAAAACCTTCTCAACCCATCCCCCAACTAGTGGCACATCAGCAAAACCTTCTCAACCGATCCACAACCTAGTGACACATCAGCAAAACCTTCTCAAGTCATGCCCCACCTAGTGGCACATCAGGAAAACCTTCTCAACCCATCCCCAACCTTGTGGCACATCAACAAAACCTTCTCAACCCATCCCCCAACTAGTGGCACATCAGCAAAACCTTCTCAAGTCATGCCCCACCTAGTGGCACATCAGGACAACCTTCTCAACCCATCCCCCACCTTGTGGCACATCAGCAAAACCTTCTCAACCCGACCCCCACCTAGTGCCTCATCAGAACAACCTTCTCAACCCATCCCCCACCCAGTGGCACATCAGAACAACCTTCTCAACCCATCCCCCACCTAGTGGCACATCAGGACAACCTTCTCAACCCATCCCCCACCTAGTGGCACATCAGAACAACCTTCTCAACCCATCCCCAACCTTGTGGCACATCAACAAAACCTTCTCAACCCATCCCCCAACTAGTGGCACATCAGCAAAACCTTCTCAAGTCATGCCCCACCTAGTGGCACATCAGGACAACCTTCTCAACCCATCCCCCACCTTGTGGCACATCAGCAAAACCTTCTCAACCCGACCCCCACCTAGTGCCTCATCAGAACAACCTTCTCAACCCATCCCCCACCCAGTGGCACATCAGAACAACCTTCTCAACCCATCCCCCACCTAGTGGCACATCAGGACAACCTTCTCAACCCATCCCCCACCTAGTGGCACATCAGAACAACCTTCTCAACCCATCCCCCACCTAGTGGCACATCAGGACAACCTTCTCAACCCATCCCCCACCTAGTGGCACATCAGAACAACCTTCTCAACCCATCCCCCACCTAGTGGCACATCAGAACAACCTTCTCAACCCATCCACAACCTAGTGACACATCAGGACAACCTTCTCAACCCATCCCCCAACTAGTGGCACATCAGCAAAACCTTCTCAACCCATCCACAACCTAGTGACACATCAGCAAAACCTTCTCAAGTCATGCCCCACCTAGTGGCACATCAGGAAAACCTTCTCAACCCATCCCCCACCTAGTGGCACATCAGAACAACCTTCTCAACCCATCCCCCACCTAGTGGCACATCATGACAACCGTCTCAACCCATCCCCAACCTTGTGGCGCATCAGCAAAACCTCAACCCATCCCCCAACTAGTGGCACCCAGCAAAACCTTCTCAACCCATCCCCCACCTAGTGGCACATCAGCAAAACCTTCTCAAGTCATGCCCCACCTAGTAGCACATCAGGAAAACCTTCTCAACCCATCCCCCACCTAGTGGCACATCAGCAAAACCTTCTCAACCCATCCCCCACCTTGTCGCACATCAGCAAAACCTTCTCAACCCATCCCCCACCTAGTGGCACATCAGCAAAACCTTCTCAACCCATCCCCCACCTAGTGGCACATCAGCAAAACCTTCTCAACCCATCCCCCACCTTGTCGCACATCAGCAAAACCTTCTCAAGTCATGCCCCACCTTGTGGCACATCAGGACAACCTTCTCAACCCATCCCCAACCTTGTGGCACATCAGCAAAACCTTCTCAACCCATCCCCCAACTAGTGGCACATCAGGATAACCTTCTCAACCCATCCCCCACCTAGTGGCACATCAGGACAACCTTATCAAATCATGCCCCATCTAGTGGCACATCAGGACAACCTTCTAAAATAATGCCCCACCTTGTGGCACATCAGGACAACCTTCTCAACCCATTACCCACCTAGTGGCACATCAGCAAAACTTTCTCAACCCATCCCCCACCTAGTGGCACATCAGAACAACCTTCTCAAATCATTCCCCTCACCCACCCCAAACCATGCTGAACCAGGGCTGACTGACGAGTGTGTTTACAATGTGTGACAGTGTGGCCTGTGACCTGTATAGCATAGATCATCCCTGATACAACAACTGTTGTGTTCCAGCTGGAGTAGTTACAGGATCATGTTGCTGGCTGCAGCAGGAAACACCACTCTGCCCTCACTGATTTCTCTTAATCATCTGATGTGGAACTGAAGGCTAGATTTGCTGTATTTTCATATGAATATCTTGGGTTAAACTTGACCTTTTTTAATGTGCCTTGAAGTGTTGATATAGGCCAGTGCAATTATAATGAAGAATTATTATTATGATGTATTCATTGTCTGCTTTGAATGAACAGACAATTGTTGAATCGACTTGATTAGTATAATGGACTTGTTTCCATCCTTGATAAGACTCAGTCCAGACTGAAACTGATGAGACTATTTACTTCAGGGTCATGCCCACCAGCCCTGCATCCACTCCGCCAACAGAGGATCCCCTAGACAAACTGAATGACTTTGTGAGACGCTTCCATGACGCCGAGCACAGGGAGAAGATGACCTTCAGGGAGCCGCAAGAGTTTGTCCACCACCATTATGAGGCACTCACTACTTTCCTGTATAACCTGGCTGAGAAATATCCAAACATCACCCACCTGTATTCAGTGGGGAAGTCAGCCCAGAACCGGGACTTGTGGGTGATGGAAGTCAGTGACAACCCAGGCAGGCACGAACCAGGTGAGGCAGAGCAGACAGGAAGTCACTGACAGACTAAAACACTCTTGCATAGTTGGTTTACATGTTGTGCACATGTGAAATCAGGCTGCCTCAGAACTAGAAGACTAGTCTTCCACCTTGTGCTCAATATGAAAATAATGCTGTTGTTATTTCCTGACTTGCATGATTGCCATAGAAAATGAAAAAGGACCTGTATTCCAACTGGCCCAGGTTTCAGTGACGAAGTACAGCATGGATGCCATATCAGCTTATTTGGACATTATGCCACCTAAAAAGAATAAGACGTCCATCTGTACTTTATTGATGCTTTACATGAGGAACTGTTTCTTGTAAGGCCTTTTACACTTTGTGTTGTGCAGGAGAACCAGAGTTCAAGTACATCGGTAACATGCATGGTAACGAGGTGGTTGGTCGGGAACTGCTACTGCAGCTACTGGAACTACTGTGCAGTAACTATGGTAACAATGAATTCATCACCTTGATGGTTGACCTGACCCGGATACATATCATGCCAACAATGAACCCGGACGGCTATGAGAAAGCTGTTGAAGGTGAGCCAATCCAACCAGATGTTGTACAGCTACTTCCGTCATGTAGAGCAGTTACTGCCGTCATGTTGTACAGCTACTGCCGTCATGTAGAGCAGTTACTGCCGTCATGTTGTACAGCTACTGCTGTCATGTAGAGCAGTTACTGCCGTCATGTTGTACAGCTACTGCCGTCATGTAGGGGCTTTACAGCCGCATGTTGTACAGCTACTGTCGTCATGTAGAGCAGTTACTGCCGTCATGTTGTACAGCTACTGCCATCATGTAGAACAGTTACTGCCGTCATGTTGTACAGCTTGTGCTGTCATGTAGAGCAGTTACTGCCGTCATGTTGTACAGCTACTGCTGTCATGTAGAGCAGTTACTGCCGTCATGTTGTACAGCTACTGCCGTCATGTAGGGGCTTTACTGCCGTCATGTTGTACAGCTACTGCCATCATGTAGAGCAGTTACTGCCATCATGTTGTACAGCTTGTGCTGTCATGTAGAGCAGTTACTGCCGTCATGTTGTACAGCTACTGCTGTCATGTAGAGCAGTTACTGCCGTCATGTTGTACAGCTACTGCCGTCATGTAGGGGCTTTACTGCCGTCATGTTGTACAGCTACTGCCGTCATGTAGAGCAGTTACTGCCGTCATGTTGTACAGCTACTGCTGTTATGTAGAGCAGTTACTGTCGTAATGTAGGGGCTTTACTGCCGTCATGTAGGGGCTTTACTTACGTCATGTTGTACAGCTACAGCTGTCATGTAGAGCAGTTACTGCCGTCATGTTGTACAGCTACTGCCATCATGTAGAGCAGTTACTGCCATCATGTTGTACAGCTACTGCCGTCATGTAGAGCAGTTACTGCCGTCAAGTAGGGGCTTTACTGCCGTCATGTTGTACAGCTAGTGCTGTCATGTAGAGCAGTTACTGCCACCATGTTGTACAGCTACTGCCGTCATGTAGGGGCTTGACTGTCGTCATGTAGGGGTTTACTGCCGTCATGTGGGGGCTTTACTGTTGTCATGTAGAGCAGTTACTGCCATCATGTAGGGGTTTTACTGGCATCATGTAGGGGTTTTACTGTCGTCATGTAGAGGTTTTACTGCTGTCATGTGGGTTTTTACTGCCGTCATTTAGTGTCTTTACTACTGTCATATTGAGGCTTTGCTGTCATCATGTAGGGGATTTTACTGTCGTCATGTAGGGGTTTTACTGTCGTCATGTAGGGGTTTTACTGGCATCATGTAGGGGCTTTACTGGCATCATATGGGGGCTTTTCTGCCATCATGTTGGGGCTTTACTGGCATCATGTAGGGGCTTTACTGGCATCATGTAGGGGCTTTACTGGCATCATGTTGGGGCTTTACTGGCATCATGTTGGGGCTTTTCTGGCATCATGTATGGGCTTTACTGGCATCATGTGAGGGCTTTACTGGCATCATGTTGGGGCTTTACTGGCATCATGTAGGGGCTTTACTGGCATCATGTAGGGGCTTTACTGGCATCATGTAGGGGCTTTTCTGGCATCATGTAGGGGCTTTACTGGCATCATGTAGGGGCTTTACTGGCATCATGTTGGGGCTTTACTGGCATCATGTAGGGGCTTTACTGGCATCATGTTGGGGCTTTACTGACATCATGTTGGGGCTTTACTGCCATCTTGTGGGGGCTTTACTGGCATCAAGTAGGGGCTTTACTTGCATCATGTTGGGGCTTTACTGCCATCATGTTGGGGCTTTACTGGCATCATGTTGGGGCTTTACTGGCATCATGTTGGGGCTTTACTGGCATCATGTTGGGGCTTTACTGGCATCATGTTGGGGCTTTACTGGCATCATGTTTTGGCTTTACTGGCATCATGTAGGGGCTATTCTTGGCATCATGTTAGGGCTTTACTGGCATCATGTGGGGGCTATTTTGGCATCATGTGGGGGCTTTACTGGCATCATGTAGGGGCTATTCTGTCATTATGTGGGGGCTATTCTGGCATCATGTGGGGGCTTTACTGGCATCATGTGGCGGCTTTACTGGCATCATGTGGGGGCTTTACTGGCATCATGTTGGGGCTTTACTGGCATCATGTTGGGGCTTTACTGGCATCATGTTGGGGCTTTACTGGCATCATGTAGGGGCTTTACTGGCATCATGTAGGGGCTTTACTGGCATCATGTATGGGCTTTACTGGCATCATGTGGGGGCTATTCTGGCATCATGTTAGGGCTTTACTGGCATCATGTTGGGGCTATTCTGGCATCATGTTAGGGCTTTACTGGCATCATGTATGGGCTTTACTGGCATCATGTGGGGGCTATTCTGGCATCATGTTAGGGCTTTACTGGCATCATGTTGGGGCTATTCTGGCATCATGTTAGGGCTTTACTGGCATCATGTATGGGCTTTACTGGCATCATGTTGGGGCTATTCTGGCATCATGTTAGGGCTTTACTGGCATCATGTAGGGGCTTTACTGGCATCATGTTGGGGCTATTCTGGCATCATGTGGGGCTTTACTGGCATCATGTGGGGGCTTTACTTGCATCATGTGGGGGCTTTACTGGCATCATGTTGGGGCTTTACTGGCATCATGTAGGGGCTTTACTGGCATCATGTTGGGGCTTTACTGGCATCATGTAGGGGCTTTACTGGCATCATGTTGGGGCTTTACTGGCATCATGTTGGGGCTTTACTGGCATCATGTAGGGGCTTTACTGGCATCATGTAGGGGCTTTACTAGCATCATGTGGGGGCTTTACTGGCATCATGTTGGGGCTTTACTGGCATCATGTAGGGGCTATTCTGGCATTATGTGGGGGCTATTCTGGCATCATGTGGGGGCTTTACTTGCATCATGTGGGGGCTTTACTGGCATCATGTTGGGGCTTTACTGGCATCATGTTGGGGCTTTACTGGCATCATGTAGGGGCTTTACTGGCATCATGTTGGGGCTTTACTGGCATCATGTAGGGGCTTTACTGGCATCATGTAGGGGCTTTACTGGCATCATGTAGGGGCTTTACTGGCATCATGTTGGGGCTTTACTGGCATCATGTAGGGGCTTTACTGGCATCATGTTGGGGCTTTACTGGCATCATGTTGGGGCTTTACTGGCATCATGTAGGGGCTTTACTGGCATCATGTAGGGGCTTTACTGGCATCATGTAGGGGCTTTACTGGCATCATGTGGGGGCTTTACTGCCATCATGTTGGGGCTTTACTGCCATCATGTTGGGGCTTTACTAGCATCATGTGGGGGCTTTACTGGCATCATGTTGGGGCTTTACTTGCATCATGTGGGGGCTTTACTGGCATCATGTTGGGGCTTTACTGGCATCATGTTGGGGCTTTACTGGCATCATGTAGGGGCTTTACTGGCATCATGTTGGGGCTTTACTGGCATCATGTAGGGGCTTTACTGGCATCATGTTGGGGCTTTACTGGCATCATGTAGGGGCTTTACTGGCATCATGTTTTGGCTTTACTGGCATCATGTAGGGGCTTTACTGGCATCATGTTGGGGCTTTACTGGCATCATGTTGGGGCTTTACTGGCATCATGTAGGGGCTTTACTGGCATCATGTAGGGGCTTTACTGGCATCATGTAGGGGCTTTACTGGCATCATGTGGGGGCTTTACTGCCATCATGTTGGGGCTTTACTGCCATCATGTTGGGGCTTTACTAGCATCATGTGGGGGCTTTACTGGCATCATGTTGGGGCTTTACTTGCATCATGTGGGGGCTTTACTGGCATCATGTTGGGGCTTTACTGGCATCATGTAGGGGCTTTACTGGCATCATGTTGGGGCTTTACTGGCATCATGTTGGGGCTTTACTGGCATCATGTAGGGGCTTTACTGGCATCATGTAGGGGCTTTACTAGCATCATGTGGGGGCTTTACTGGCATCATGTTGGGGCTTTACTGGCATCATGTAGGGGCTATTCTGGCATTATGTGGGGGCTATTCTGGCATCATGTGGGGGCTTTACTGGCATCATGTTGGGGCTTTACTGGCATCATGTAGGGGCTTTACTGCCATCATGTAGGGGCTTTACTGGCATCATGTAGGGGCTTTACTGGCATCATGTAGGGGCTTTACTGGCATCATGTAGGGGCTTTACTGGCATCATGTGGGGGCTTTACTGCCATCATGTTGGGGCTTTACTGCCATCATGTTGGGGCTTTACTAGCATCATGTGGGGGCTTTACTGGCATCATGTTGGGGCTTTACTTGCATCATGTGGGGGCTTTACTGGCATCATGTTGGGGCTTTACTGGCATCATGTTGGGGCTTTACTGGCATCATGTAGGGGCTTTACTGGCATCATGTTGGGGCTTTACTGGCATCATGTAGGGGCTTTACTGGCATCATGTTGGGGCTTTACTGGCATCATGTAGGGGCTTTACTGGCATCATGTTGGGGCTTTACTGGCATCATGTAGGGGCTTTACTGGCATCATGTTGGGGCTTTACTGGCATCATGTTGGGGCTTTACTGGCATCATGTAGGGGCTTTACTGGCATCATGTAGGGGCTTTACTGGCATCATGTAGGGGCTTTACTGGCATCATGTGGGGGCTTTACTGCCATCATGTTGGGGCTTTACTGCCATCATGTTGGGGCTTTACTAGCATCATGTGGGGGCTTTACTGGCATCATGTTGGGGCTTTACTTGCATCATGTGGGGGCTTTACTGGCATCATGTTGGGGCTTTACTGGCATCATGTTGGGGCTTTACTGGCATCATGTAGGGGCTTTACTGGCATCATGTTGGGGCTTTACTGGCATCATGTAGGGGCTTTACTGGCATCATGTTGGGGCTTTACTGGCATCATGTAGGGGCTTTACTGGCATCATGTTTTGGCTTTACTGGCATCATGTAGGGGCTTTACTGGCATCATGTTGGGGCTTTACTGGCATCATGTTGGGGCTTTACTGGCATCATGTAGGGGCTTTACTGGCATCATGTAGGGGCTTTACTGGCATCATGTAGGGGCTTTACTGGCATCATGTGGGGGCTTTACTGCCATCATGTTGGGGCTTTACTGCCATCATGTTGGGGCTTTACTAGCATCATGTGGGGGCTTTACTGGCATCATGTTGGGGCTTTACTTGCATCATGTGGGGGCTTTACTGGCATCATGTTGGGGCTTTACTGGCATCATGTTGGGGCTTTACTGGCATCATGTAGGGGCTTTACTGGCATCATGTTGGGGCTTTACTGGCATCATGTAGGGGCTTTACTGGCATCATGTTGGGGCTTTACTGGCATCATGTAGGGGCTTTACTGGCATCATGTTGGGGCTTTACTGGCATCATGTAGGGGCTTTACTGGCATCATGTTGGGGCTTTACTGGCATCATGTTGGGGCTTTACTGGCATCATGTAGGGGCTTTACTGGCATCATGTGAGGGCTATTCTGGCATCATGTTGGGGCTATTCTGGCATCATGTATGGGCTTTACTGACATCATGTAGGGGCTTTACTGCTGCCATGTATGTGTTTTGACTATTTGACTGTTATCAAAACACAACTTTGAAGTGTAAGAACAGTCTGTTTTTTTAACTTGTTCACATTCTTCACAGGATTTAGTACTGTGCAAGTAATATGAGCTTGTCTGTCAATACTTCCATCTGCAGGTGATGTACAGGGAGTTCGAGGCCGACCTAACAGTCACAACATGGATCTGAACAGGAACTTCCCTGACCAGTACAAGACATTGTATACCAATGCAGAACAGGAACCAGAGACAAGAGCTGTAATGAGCTGGGTCCAGTCCATCCCCTTTGTCCTGTCCGCCAACCTCCATGGTGGATCGCTTGTGGCCAACTACCCCTTTGATGATTTCGCCCCAAATGCTCATGCGGTGTATAGCCGGTGTCCAGATGATAAAACCTTCATACTGCTGGCTGAAGCCTACTCCTTTGTGAGTAACTAGTTTTATTTCAAATCTTTCAAAAACAGCTTCAGAAGAGAATTTTGCCTAATTCATATTTATCTATAAATAAGTTTTCTCAATCAAACTAAGTCTAAGGCAGTACTTGCTGCACAGCTTGTTGCTGAGACTGCTGTTTGTCGCCAGGCTCACTCTAAGATGCACTTTGGACACCCATGCCCCTCTATCAGTGACGAGTACTTCAAGGATGGAATCACCAACGGCGCTACATGGTACAGTGTGGCAGGTATGTGAATGTATCTGTCCGAGATCAGCTCAATATACTTATGTGTCTGACAGAGATCAGGTCAATATTAACACCATCGAAGCAGCCAGGTCCGCGGGTCTATATTTTACATAATGAACTTGCCAAGTGCTTTATTTCAACTTTATGCATTCTGCTTTTTATTACTATAACAATTCACTCAAGATCTTCAGAGAGATCTACGAACCTTGCATTGCCACTCACATAAGTCATGACATGACAGATCAATAATGATCATTCGGTGGGTCAATATTTGAGGTCAGTGTCAGTCACGTGATTTGACCAAACCTTTTTGGGTCAGTTTTCAGTTACATCAGCATTGAAATTTATTGTTTCCTCATGTGACCAATGAAATTCAAAGATTCTTAATAAACTTGTATGTGAGAGATCAGGTCAGTATATAGTTGAGTGTCAGTCGACCTCTGCAGATTAGAATTGGTTTTCAGCATCCTATGCTTGTCTTAATAGGCGACTAAAGGGATCAGTTGGTCAGATTGGCTGACTTGGTACATGCATGTTATCGTTCAAATGTGTAGATCGATGTTCATGATGTCAATCGCTGGATTGCCTGGTCCATACTCCACTGGATGTGTTGTATCGGGTGGGATCTGACCAGGATGTTGTGTATCGGGAAAGATGTGACAGGATGTTGTGTATCGGTAGGGATGTGACCAGGATGTTGTGTATCGGGATAGATGTGACAGGATGTTGTGTATCGGGTGGGATGTGACCATGATGTTGTGTATCGGGTGGGATGTGACCAGAATGTTGTGTATCGGGTTGGATGTGACCAGGATGTTGTGTATTGGGTTGGATGTGACCAGGATGTTGTGTATAGGATGGGATGTGACCAGGATGTTATGTATCAGGTGGGATGTGACCAGGATGTTATGTATCGGGTGGGATGTGACCAGGATGTTATGTATTGGGTGGGATGTGACCAGAATGTTGTGTATAGGATGGGATGTGACCAGGATGTTGTGTATAGGATGGGATGTGACCAGAATGTTGTGTATAGGATGGGATGTGACCAGGATGTTATGTATCAGGTGGGATGTGACCAGGATGTTGTGTATAGGATGGGATGTGACCAGGATGTTGTGTATAGGATGGGATGAGACCAGGATGTTGTGTATAGGATGGGATGTGACCAGGATGTTGTGTTTTAGGAGGGATGTGACCAGGATGTTGTGTATCAGGTGGGATGTGACCAGGATGTTGTGTATAGGATGGGATGTGACCAGAATGTTGTGTATAGGATGGGATGTGACCAGGATGTTATGTATCAGGTGGGATGTGACCAGGATGTTGTGTATAGGATGAGATGAGACCAGGATGTTGTGTATCAGGAGGGATGTGACCAGGATGTTGTGTTTTAGGAGGGATGTGACCAGAATGTTGTGAATCAGGAGGTGACCAGGATGTTGTGTTTCAGGAGGGATGTGACCAGGATGTTATGTATCAGGTGGGATGTGACCTCGATGTTGTGTATCGGGTGGTATGTGACCAGGATGTTGTGTATCAGGTGGGATGTGACCAGAATGTTGTGTATAGGATGGGATGTGACCAGGATGTTGTGAATCAGGAGGGATGTGACCAGGATGTTGTGTATCGGGTGGGATGTGACCAGAATGTTGTGAATCAGGAGGGATGTGACCAGGATGTTGTGTATTGGGTGGGATGTGACCAGGATGTTGTGTATCAGGAGGGATGTGACCAGGATGTTGGGTATGATGTGGGATGTGACCAGGATGTTGTGTATGATGTGGGATGTGACCAGAATGTTGTGTATAGGGTGGGATGTGACCAGGATGTTGTGTATGATGTGGGATGTGACCAGAATGTTGTGTATAGGGTGGGATGTGACCAGGATGTTCTGTATAGGATGGGATGTGACCAGGATGCTGGGTATGATGTGGAATGTGACCGGATGTTGTGTATAGGGTGGGATGTGACCACAATGTTGTGTATCGGGTGGTATGTGACCTGGATGTTGTGTATCAGGAGGGATGTGACCAGGATGTTGGGTATGATATGGGATGTGACCAGAATGTTGCGTATAGGATGGGATGTGACCAGGATGTTGTGGATCAGGAGGGATGTGACCAGGATGTTGTGTATCAGGAGGGATGTGACCAGGATGTTGTGTTTTAGGAGGGATGTGACCAGGATGTTGTGTATCAGGAGGGATGTGACCAGGATGTTGGGTATGATGTGGGATGTGACCAGGATGTTGTGTATAGGGTGGGATGTGACTACAATGTTGTGTATCGGGTGGTATGTGACCAGGATGTTGTGTATCAGGAGGGATGTGACCAGGATGTTGGGTATGATATGGGATGTGACCAGAATGTTGCGTATAGGATGGGATGTGACCAGGATGTTGTGTATCGGGTGGGATGTGATCAGGATGTTGTGTATCAGGAGGGATGTGACCAGGATCTTTGGTATGATATGGGATGTGACCAGGATGTTGTGTATCAGGAGGGATGTGACCAGAATGTTGTGTATAGGATGGGATGTGACCAGGATGTTTGGTATCGGGTGGGATGTGACCAGAATGTTGTGTATAGGATGGGATGTGACCAGGATGTTTGGTATCGGGTGGGATGTGACCAGAATGTTGTGTATAGGATGGGATGTGACCAGGATGTTGTGTATAGGATGGGATGTGACCAGGATGTTGTGTATAGGATGGGATGTGACCAGGATGTTATGTATCGGGTGGGATGTGACCAGAATGTTGTGTATAGGATGGGATGTGACCAGGATGTTATGTATCGGGTGGGATGTGACCAGAATGTTGTGTATCGGGTGGGATGTGACCAGGATGTTGTGTATTGGGTGGGATGTGACCAGGATGTTGTGTATTGGGTTGTATGTGACCAGGATGTTGGGTATGATGTGGGATGTGACCAGGATGTTGTGTATAGGATGGGATGTGACCAGGATGTTGTGTATAGGATGGGATGTGACCAGAATGTTGTGTATAGGATGGGATGTGACCAGGATGTTATGTATCAGGTGGGATGTGACCAGGATGTTTGGTATCAGGTGGGATGTGACCAGAATGTTGTGTATAGGATGGGATGGGATCAGGTTGTTGTGTATCAGGTGGGATGTGACCACGATGTTGTGTATCGGGTGGTATGTGACCAGGATGTTGTGTATCAGGAGGGATGTGACCAGGATGTTGGGTATGATATGGGATGTGACCAGAATGTTGTGTATAGGATGGGATGTGACCAGGATGTTATGTATCAGGTGGGATGTGACCTCGATGTTGTGTATCGGGTGGTATGTGACCAGGATGTTGTGTATCAGGTGGGATGTGACCAGAATGTTGTGTATAGGATGGGATGTGACCAGGATGTTAAGAATCAGGAGGGATGTGACCAGGATGTTGTGTATTGGGTGGGATGTGACCAGGATGTTGGGTATGATGTGGGATGTGACCAGGATGTTGTGTATAGGATGGGATGTGACCAGGATGTTGGGTATAGGATGGGATGTGACCAGGATGTTGTGTATAGGGTGGGATTTGACCAGGATGTTGTGTATGATGTGGGATGTGACCAGAATGTTGTGTATAGGGTGGGATGTGACCAGGATGTTCTCTATAGGATGGGATGTGACCAGGATGTTGTGAATCAGGAGGGATGTGACCAGGATGTTGTGTATTGGGTGGGATGTGACCAGGATGTTAGGTATGATGTGGGATGTGACCAGGATGTTGTGTATAGGATGGGATGTGACCAGGATGTTGGGTATAGGATGGGATGTGACCAGGATGTTGTGTATAGGGTGGGATTTGACCAGGATGTTGTGTATGATGTGGGATGTGACCAGAATGTTGTGTATAGGATGGGATGTGACCAGAATGTTGTGTATAGGATGGGATGTGACCAGGATGTTATGTATCAGGTGGGATGTGACCAGGATGTTGTGTATAGGATGAGATGAGACCAGGATGTTGTGTATCAGGAGGGATGTGACCAGGATGTTGTGTTTTAGGAGGGATGTGACCAGAATGTTGTGAATCAGGAGGTGACCAGGATGTTGTGTTTCAGGAGGGATGTGACCAGGATGTTATGTATCAGGTGGGATGTGACCTCGATGTTGTGTATCAGGTGGTATGTGACCAGGATGTTGTGTATCAGGTGGGATGTGACCAGAATGTTGTGTATAGGATGGGATGTGACCAGGATGTTGTGAATCAGGAGGGATGTGACCAGGATGTTGTGTATCGGGTGGGATGTGACCAGAATGTTGTGAATCAGGAGGGATGTGACCAGGATGTTGTGTATTGGGTGGGATGTGACCAGGATGTTGTGTATCAGGAGGGATGTGACCAGGATGTTGGGTATGATGTGGGATGTGACCAGGATGTTGTGTATGATGTGGGATGTGACCAGAATGTTGTGTATAGGGTGGGATGTGACCAGGATGTTGTGTATGATGTGGGATGTGACCAGAATGTTGTGTATAGGGTGGGATGTGACCAGGATGTTCTGTATAGGATGGGATGTGACCAGGATGCTGGGTATGATGTGGAATGTGACCGGATGTTGTGTATAGGGTGGGATGTGACCACAATGTTGTGTATCGGGTGGTATGTGACCAGGATGTTGTGTATCAGGAGGGATGTGACCAGGATGTTGGGTATGATATGGGATGTGACCAGAATGTTGCGTATAGGATGGGATGTGACCAGGATGTTGTGTATCAGGAGGGATGTGACCAGGATGTTGTGTATCAGGAGGGATGTGACCAGGATGTTTGGTATGATATGGGATGTGACCAGGATGTTGTGTATCAGGAGGGATGTGACCAGAATGTTGTGTATAGGATGGGATGTGACCAGGATGTTTGGTATCGGGTGGGATGTGACCAGAATGTTGTGTATAGGATGGGATGTGACCAGGATGTTAAGAATCAGGAGGGATGTGACCAGGATGTTGTGTATTGGGTGGGATGTGACC